CAATCTTTCTCACTTTTATTTATTTTCATTATTTAAAGTAGGACTTTGCTTAAAATGAGAAACACCATTTAGTTCATTTCAATTTTATTTCTAAATTGTTTAGAATCAAGCAAATCAAAAGAGAAATGTTGGATAGAAAACATAATTTTTGTACTGAACAAGAAATTCTTTAATTTAGAATATTAAATTCAGTTGATTTGTTCAATATTGACACTTATACTTTCTTTTGAAAGACTGATTTTTTAAAATATTGAAATAAACAGGTTTACAGAATTTGTAACAATGTTTTTATGATAAATCTTGAAAATTGCATGTTTTCCCTTGCTGCATCTCCTTCCTTTATTTCTCAAGAACTGCAGAATTAAGGTGATATATAAGACTTAAGCATTTATTATCTAAAGTCATTGGCAAGCAAAAACAAGTTTACAATATCTCCCACTTAGCTTTAACTAGTGGGCTAATTAATGTATCTATGGCCCAGTATTCACATGTATAATAATTAAATATATTAACTCGATAAGGGTAGACAAATAGTTTTTTTGTTTAGGGAATGGAGCACATGTCGTATATTCACTGTATTAATAGTATAATTGAAGTTATTAAGGTAAATAAACCCATACTGCTAAAAATGTTGCAGGATACAAATTAAAAAGATTGAAAATAACTTTATTAAAGGTATATTAAACTAAAAATAAAACAAATAGACATTTAGAAGAATCTGCATATATAGGTTGACTGACAATAGTGAGAGGTAAATGGAGGCAGCCGGTGGGATAAAGGAAAGGAGGCAAAACCTTATAGCAGAAGTCTTAGGACCTACAATATTAGATAACAAGACTAAAACCCCAATTGGTTCACCCTCCTAACCACTCACTGAACTAAGGATGGTGAAAAGCAATGGGGAATATAAATGTACAGCTAATATTACAGGTAAGCTTTATTCAGTTACAGATACCAATGGATGGGAGTGTATACCGAGGAGTACCTACTCCCTGAAGAAGTCCCTATAACTACCTTGATGCACCAAGGGCAGAGGATGCACATATAAACCTATATAGCTGTATATTAACAAGTAATGCAAATTAAAACTATATTAACCTAAAAGTACCCCTGGGTGGAGAAAATACCACTTCTCTTGGTTGTATATGATGAAATAGCTACTCCCTGAACCACCTACATATACCTAGTGGTGGGGAATAATCCCACTACTCTTAAAGGTATATAGGTCAATGGCGAGTTAAAACAAGTCCTTGGCTATCTCTGTGCACCATAAAACAGAATGTACACCTACATACCAGAGAGAAACAGGTGGAAAAATCCCTAGAAGCAAAAGTAAAATATAAATGATAGCTAATGCAAAGGTAAGCTATATTAGCCCACACATACCTATAAGTAGGAAACTAGTCCCCTACTCTTAAAGGTATACAGAGGACGAGCTATCTAAAACAGGTCCCTATAACTACCTACACCATAAGGTAGATAGTGCACCTACATACCTGGGAGAGGCAACTTTAAAATGGGAAGCAACACTCTTAAAGGTAAAGGAGGACAGGGGAAAATAGCAACGTAAACGGTATAGATATAAAAATATAGTACAGGTAAGCTATATATTTGCCTACAGATATCTATAGGTAGGGTATAATCACACTACTCTTAAAGGTGTACAGGAGAACAGTTACCTGCATATAAAGGCTCCCTTAAAGGAACCATGCAAGAAGTGAACAAACCTTATGACCCAAACCAACTGCACATTGTCACAGCTATAGAGAAGCAGCTAAGGAACAGAACGGCATATGCCCTTATTTGTCTCCATCTGAGTCCAGAAAAAATGTAAACATTTCTAGTAGTATGCTGGCCATTTTAAATTCCCCAAGGAAGTTGACAAAGCTTAAATGGACCTGTAAGAGGAATTGCCAAATTTAGAAGTGTAAAGCTGGCAGTGACGTCCCTCAAAAGCCTCACCGTTTCTGCAATTGCTTTCTAAAGGTACTCCAAATTAGATTAAAGGATCTTCATATTATTATAGTTTAGTTTTTATAATAGATATTGTATAATTAAATGTTTTTTTGCATATCCAAAAGGCATTTTATTGCAAAATGTAAATATATATATGTATTCATATGTGAATGTTTTGTAGACACAAGGGGCATAGGATACGATATAAAATGAGCTTGAAGTGAAAATAAAGAATTACTCAGCAGTATGTGGCACAGTCCTTAATTGCTGTATACTTCTGTATGAGGAACTATTGTTAGCTTGGATAGGAAATTGCAAACTGTAAGTAGGGATTCTACTTCTGCTTTGGGCACACCTCCCAGGAAGGTTACTCTGTTATCTTTTACCACAGAGGGAAATCAGCATACACAGACGATATAGTGTAAGGACACATGGCATGGGTCAAAACCTCAAATGTTGCTTAAGATGAACTCAAGTAATTATCATACAAAAACAGCAAAGAATAACCATGGTTAAAGCAGGACATGCATTGGTGTAAGAAGAAAAAAATTTGAACAGTTTGTTTAATTCTTTTTTTATGGTTTGAATTCCCATATAATTTAAATGTAATCGAAAGCTTAATACTGAAGAATAAAAGTATATGAGGGCCTCGGCAAAAACATTTTTTTTTTTTTTACATTGTACAGAAGTTTTTTTCTCAGCCCACACTCCTAAAAATTTCCAATTTTAATTTCTGAAGTTGGCTACAATTGAATAAATCATTTCCCAGTATTATAAATAATGGAAAACTTGTACAGATTCTCATCAACTTATTAGTCGCACATAAATAGATATAAAATAGCTTAAATTCTAATACTTTGTATATCTATCATTGCACTGTCAGACCAGATCTGAAATATTCGTATGTAGTCAAAATATATTTTTTTGATACACATAGTAGTTATGAAAAAAAATAAAAAGCTGAATAAAGATGTTAAAATATCCAGTTTATGTGTATTAGTATTGAACGTGATGGCATTTCTAGCAGTTCAACTTTTAAAAACTGTCCACAAAATGTACATAACGATGTCTATGTTAGCATTAGTACCATATGCAGGAGTGCAGTTATATTATACATACTATACAGGGGTTTCTAATATGCCATTGCTCCTTATAAGTAAAATATATTTTACACTGTTTGAGAGTAAGGCTTCAGGTTATAAAAGACCATTATGTAAGCTTATGCTGAATTGTACTCAGTTTTAACCACTTAAGGGCACAACTTCTGGAATAAAAGGGAATCATGACAGAATATTTCCGTTGTGTCCTTAAGGGGTTAATAAGACAAAAAAAACAAACTCACGATTTCTTGAAATAATAGTAATAATTATGTAGCCTCATACATAATTTGTTTTAGCATTGGTCACCCTAAACCCTGCCCTTGCTATTGCAAGGATGTCTCCCCTGCCGTTATAGTATTTGCAGACTCCCTTTTAACATCTATTCCCCATCTATTCCTTTACTTGTGATTGAAAGATGATAGAAGAGTGAGGAGTTGCTGTAATATATAGGAATTCACTAAATATTGAGTGGACTCATGCATAGGATGCAGGAAAAAGAACAAATAATATGAAATGAAATTAAAAGTATTGTTAGATTAAAATAGATTAAAATATTTAATTACACAAACAATTATGTATTTCTTTTAGGCTATGTTTTGCTTGTTAAGTTACATAAGTATGAAATAACTTTAATATAATTTTCAATTCTAAAATATTTACTTTCATGTACCTCATATAACAGCTAGAACACATCTTTACTTACATAATTTGTAAGCCCTATGGGCTAGAAATTATTTCTAACTTGTGTCACTTCTGATGCTTGACACTCACAGTCTGGGTCATTTTATAGCCAATCCACCTCATGTCACTTTATAGGTGCATGTCAGCATGTGCTCAGACAAACCTTGACATTTTGCAGATTTAAGACTGACACACCATAGCCTACTATAGAAACCTCTTCTTCCAATAGAAACTTGCCTTTCGTGGTTCTAGTTTGACCCCATAATGTGTCTTGCAGGCTTTTGTTGGTTTTCATCCTGCTTTGTCCTTGTGTTTAGGAACCCACTGACCCAGCTTTGCCTTTCAGTCTTGTTATTTTCTGCTCTTTGTGACCTCTACAGAAGTTAAGTCAATTTAAGTGTAGCTGTCGGGGTTTTTAGGGATTTATACTTACCAGAAATGAATTCCTCTTCACATTTCATCTATACATTTTGCTAACCAGATGACTAGCAAATGTATAGATTTCTCTATATTCACGATCCCCATTCCTCCATGCAGACAGATTATTGGCATAAAGTCTATGGCTACAATCTATGTCTCTCTTCCTTAGTACCATAGGCGTGTGCACAGGGTGTACCGGGTGTGCCTGGGCACACCCTAATCCCCGTGGCACGCCTATGTATTTAGACCGACAGGGGAGATCTCAGGATCCCCCCTGTCGGCTCATGCAGAGCCGGCGCTATCTGATCACCGGCTCTGCTCTCAGCCTCCTTCCCCACCGGCCCACATGCAGGGAAGGAGGCAGGAGAGGACCCGGGAAGCTCTTGCCAGCAGCTCTGCTGGGTTTCTCTTGCGAGATCTGAGCGTTGCCGCGGTTACCGCGGCAACGCTCAGATCTCGCGAGTGTGAACTCTAGCTCCGCAGGCTAGAGTTCACTCTCACCACTAGGACCACCAGGGAAGGCAGAAAGGATCCCCCCTCCCTGGCATAAGGTAACAAGGGAGGGGGGATATTAAGCAATCTGCCCCCACCTCCACTGGACCACCAGGGAAGGCAGCAGCACGGTCCCCCCTCCCTACATAAGGTAAGAAGGGAGGGGGGATCTTTATTAAATAATCTGCCCCCACCTCCACCCCCACAAATCACCCAAACAGCACACACACAGCACATGCACACATACAGCACACAAACAGCACACACACATACAGCACACACACACATACAGCACACAGCACAACACACAGCACACACATACAGCGCACACACACAGCACCCACACACATACAGCACACACACAGCACACACACACAGCACACAAACAGCACACACACACAGCACTGTGTGTGTGTGCTGTGTGTGTGCTGTATGTGTGTGTGTGCTGTTTGTGTGCTGTATGTGTGTGCTGTGTGCTGTATGTGTGTGTGGGTGCTGTATGTGTACACAGCACACAAACAGCACACACACAGCACCCACACACATACAGCAAACAAACATCACACATACACCACACAAACAGAACACACATCGCCCACACACACACAGCACCCACACACACAGCACCCACACACATACAGAATCCACACACACATACAGCACCCACACACATACAGCACCCCCACAAACACAAACAACACACAAACAACACCCTCACACACACACAGCATACTAACAGTACCCTCACAAACACAAACAGCACCCTCACATAGCACACTAACAGGACCCTAACACACACACACACAGCACACTACCAGTACCCTCACACACAAACAGCACCCTTACACACAGTACATTAACAGCACCCTCACAAGCGCACACACACACAAACACCCACACAGCACACTACCAGCACCCTCACATAGCACACACACACAGCAGTGTATATATATATATATATACATACATACATATACGCGGCGTGTGCTTGTGCTTTAGGGTGCACACCCTAATGCAATAGGCTGCGCACGCCTATGCTTAGTACATGTCTGAGACAGGCTGTGTCTAGGCATAGGAAAGCCATTTGAGGCTTCCTACACAGAGGTAGTCCTTTAGAGAAAGGTTGCTGCCCACTAACTGGACTAATGGTAGCTCTCCATCAGCTACAAAGGAGGTGAGCATGATGAAAATTTGACAAAGCTCCATTAAAGGTGGGTATATAAAAAAAGTATTTTTCTTTGTTCTTTGAATTATCTCCACATTAGTTAATGGTCCTTCAGCATTTTATGTAGATAATCATATCCGGATATCCAGTTCACATTCTACATTTGTACAGTAATTATTGCTGTTTTACATACTATTCAAATTGAAAGCAGTATTTTCGTAAACAACTGTCATTTTCTATGTATGAAGTACTAGATAAAGTGTTTTGTCTATGCATGTTAAGGCTCAGTGGGGTTTCACTTCTGATGTCTATTTTAATATCATGTTTTTTCACATCATGAATATTTCTAACCTCAATTGGGGACTGTTTCAGCTTCCTTAATTAAAACCATTGGCCTTTCTCATCCTTTAATGGCATTCAAATGCAACAGTTTAATTGTTTTCAAAACATTCCTCTTCTGAAGCTTTGAAGTTTCCCAACTTCAGTACTCATAACCAACTCAAAACTATGTCATTTCATGTCACAGGGAAACTGATTTTTTTCTTTTTTGCTTAGGTCACATGCAAATTATTACCAAGAACATTATCAAACAGAACTGACGTTCACCAGGGAATAGTTGAAATTGGCATTTTGACACAGGTATGCACATCTTTATTTTACAAAGCAGGAAGAAGATTACATTTTGTTATATTTGTTATATTTGTGCAGTTCTGTAGCCACATACAGCAATAACATATATTATCTAAGTTTCACTAGGGAGATAACTTTGCAGGAACTCAAGAGAGACAATTTTTAGTTAACGTTTGGTGTCAGCATACAGAACTCAACATCTAATAACTAAATGCTTTCAATTAATAAATATAGCTACCAAAATATCTTTTGTCTATAAAGAAGTAACCTCTATCATTAATTAACTAAATATCATCACATTATGACCTCAATTTAATAATGTTGTGTAAGCTTTTCAAATTATGTAATAAGGAAACAGAATGGAAAAGCGAGAACGAAAAAGAACACAAATAAGGAACAATGGCTACAGAAGAGAGAAGGATAACACCAGTGGTAGCTGATAAAGTTTAAAGATTTTTGGGCACTATACTCTACCCATAGCACTTGACTCTGTGCTATAGCTTGTTGGTCTCTGCCCGTTATCCCATATATATACAAGCCCTGACCAAATAAGACAACATGCTCTGTTCAACGATACAACAACCACTTTAAATAGGTCTGACTCCACCTCCTGTTGCCCACATTCAATCCTAGAAGACAGAACAATACCAAATGTGCCTTTTAGGACATCTAGGAATGTCATAATGCATAAGACATTCTCATAGAGACAACGAAATATGTCTGAGAGTCTACACTCTCACATTAAAAAAAACCAAAAAAAAAAAAAAACTAGATATGATTAGTTGATTAGCCTTTCTTCAGCCATCAGTAGGGAGAGGGACTAAACTGTAGAACTACCGTATATACTCGAGTATAAGCCGAGTTTTTCGTCACATTTTTTTTTTCGGCTTATACTCGAGTCAGTCTGTATTATGGCAATTCACATTGCCATAATACAGACTGGGGGCTGGCAGAGCTGTTACTTACCTCTCCTACAGCTCCTCCGCGCCGGTCCGTGCAGCACCTCGGTCAGCTCACACTGTAAGTCTCGCGAGAGCCGCGGGGTCATAGTGCGGCTCTCGCGAGACTTACAGAGTGAGCTGACAGAAGAGCTGCACGGACCGGTGCGGAGGAGGAGAGAGCTGACAGGAGCTGCAGGAGAGGTAAGTAACAGCTCTGCCAGTCCCCCTCCTCCCCCCACTGAACTGCCAATGCCACTGGACCACCAGGGAAGGAGAGCCCCCCTCCCCAGCCAGCTAAAAAGCAGGGAGGGGGGACGAAAAATAAATAACTTAATAATATACAAATATAAATAATAATAATAATAATAAAAAAAAATAAAAAAAAAATATAACAAAAAAATTAAAAGAATAATAATTTTATTTTAATAAAAATGCCCACCCCCCACCAAGGCTCTGCAACACAAAACACACTGCATCACACACACTGCATTCATACACACACACTGCACTCATATACACCAAGGCTCTGCAACACAAAACACACTGCATCACACACACACTGCATTCACACACACACACACTGCATTCACACACACACACACACTGCATTCATACACACACACTGCATTCATACATACCAAGGCTCTGCAACACAAAACACACTGCATTCACACACACACTGCATTCACACACACTGCATTCACACACACACACTGCATTCATACACACACACTGTATTCATACACACACACTGCATTCATACATACCAAGGCTCTGCAACACAAAACACACTGCATCACACACACACTGCACTCATACACACACACTGCACTCATACATACACTGCACTCATACACACACACTGCACTTATACACACACACTGCATTCATACACACACACTGCATTCATCATATACACTAAATAAATATTCAATTAATATAATTTTTTTAGGATCTAATTTTATTTAGAAATTTACCAGTAGCTGCTGCATTTCCCACCCTAGTCTTATACTCGAGTCAATACGTTTTCCCAGTTTTTTGGGGTAAAATTAGGGGCCTCGGCTTATATTCGGGTCGGCTTATACTCGAGTATATACGGTAATCATAGTAGGCACAGTTAGGGTTTTCCACTATAGTGAGTATTGTAAGAAATTCTCAAGTAAATTCAAACTGAGCTTCAAATTTGCTGCAATGGCCAAACTGAAATAAAATTGACTTAGAGACTAAAACATTTTTCAAAATATTCTTACTTAAAGGAACACTATAGTCACTTAAATTACTTTAGCTAAATAAAGCAGTTTTAGTGTATAGATCATTCCCCATGCAATTTTACTGCTCAATTCACTGTAATTTAGGAGTTAAATCACTTTGTTTCTGTTTATGCAGCCCTAGCCAAACCTCCCCTGGCTATGATTGACAGAGCCTGCATGAAAAAAAAAAAACTGGTTTCACTTTCAAACAGATGTAATTTACCTTAAATAATTGTATCTCAATCTCTAAATTGAACTTTAATCACATACAGGAGGCTCTTGCAGGGTCTAGCAAGCTATTAACATAGCAGGGGATAAGAAAATCTTAATTAAACAGAACTTGCAATAAAGAAAGCCTAAATAGGGCTCTCATTACAGGAAGTGTTTAAGGAAGGCTGTACAAGTCACATGCAGGGAGGTGTGACTAGGGTTCATAAACAAAGGGATTTAACTCCTAAATGGCAGAGGACTGAGCAGTGAGGCTGCAGGGGCATGTTCTATACACCAAAACTGCTTAATTAAGCTAAAGTTGTTCACGTGACTTTAGTGTCCCTTTAAGCCTTTGTACAGGTCTCATAGTGTACAAATGAAATGGTGATAAACCAATCTGTCAAAAGTATAATAGGTCTCTAATTTGACCAAATGACTTCTCAACCCCTCTCCAAAAATAAAATCTGGTAAAAGTATACACTACTGAATATTACTTCGCTGTGGGTTGTAGTAGAGTAGAATAATACATTAATTGAAGTCTCGACTGTAATCTGAGTTTTGAAAATGTTTGAATTATGTGCTAGTGTTATTCTGTCTAAAAGGGAAAAGTGCAAATGGTCAGGTCTCTAATTTGACCAAATATCTTTATAAACAACTGGCAAAACCATGCATGGTGGTAGGTGGTATAAATGTGCTTGGGGATGTAGTAGATTCTGGGTATTTATTGTAGAATATTACATCAAGTCTCTGAAATCTACCACAAAAATACAATGTGTGTGTATCAGATTCACTTTAATTGAAATATAACGACAAACTACAAAACATCAGTGCTCTAGCTATACATCCCACCAATAGAATAACTATTATGCTCATATTTAGAGACAATGTTCTCTTCTTCATTTTAGATATAGAGCATGTAACAAAGCTACTGCAGGCATCAGATCTTGAAATATTTGTCATGGTTATGTATTATAAAGACACACGCAAAGCAATGGTTACAGGGGTGATGTTACTTACGCGGCAACAAGAACAGTAGACATCTCACTGATGATTGTAAATAAGATTGCTGGCGTTAATCTCCATTCCTCCTGTTATTTAATTTATATGTGTTTCCGCTTCCTTCCTTCCCTTAATGCTCTTCAGGTTTTCCCCAGTATTACTTCCTTCATATGGTCTCCAGATGCATTATGATGGAACAGCGAGTGCACCGATATGTTTTCGTCTAAAGCACAATTTTTCTTTTTCTTTTTTGATTGATATTCCATTTGATAGAAACAATATTGTATATGCCATGAATACATCACCCTTTCAATGTCAAGTATCTTGCAAGTCACTTTTTGTGTCTTGTAACCAGATAGTTCATGGACCTGGTACTACGTCTAATGTGGATATAATTACTGCAAAGCTTTCCTATGAATAATGTTTTCAATGATTTATAAAATGTGAATTTTAATTTATGTTTCAAAAACAAGCGTAACATATATTTTGTCAAAAGAATAAATATATAGCATCAAAAGTGCTGGGAGTATACCAAATCATATCATACAGCTGAACCTGTGGTTTTCAATGATCATAAAGTCTAAGTTCAGCAAAGCTTTAGCAGCAGAATTAATAATTCCATTGGATCAAATGCAAGCAGACGTAGGTTCTCATACATTTTAAAAAAAAAATAACTCTTACACTTGATTCTAGGAGGCGGGAGTGGAAGAAAACAAAAAAAAAACAAAAAAACTCTTTTGGAGTACTCTACCTTGGCCCAATTTACCATATGATTATGTATTTTTTTTTTGTAAATTCCAATAGGAAGAAATTCTTTAAATAATTTTTTTTATGGAAAAGTTCTGACTGCTATCTACAAGATAAAAATAAGTTGAAATATTTTCACACTTTTTATTATTTCTAAATAGGTTTGAGAGAAATTAAATCTTATATGATATTGAATCCATTTAAAAATGTTGGAATATTTTGTAAAACTAATCTGTCTCTATCTGGATTAAAGATGTTTAATGTATATAGATCTTCTTCTCTAGCTGTGGGGTTTGGATAAATTAGGGGACTGGGCAGACAAAAGCTAGTAAGGTGATGTCATTTATAAAAAGGGCTGTTTATTCAAATATATATTTGCCCCAAATATAATTTTGCCTTTGTAAATCAGTGGTAAAACCCCAGTCTGAATATGCCATGCAGTTTTTTGTGACAATTTGAATGAAACACAAAACTAATAAGGGAGATGGGAAACGTCTAGTCTTACCATATGCAGTCTCACTGTTCAATTATTTGCCATTTAGGACTTAAATTACTTTGATAACTTAAATGACACTTTATGTAGCCCTGTGTCACGGCACGCTGAGAGAGGCAGGCCCTTCCCATAGAACCCTGTCAATGGCTGATGTCTTTTAAAGTCTGGTCCATTGGTTAAAAAGAGTATTCCACTAACAGTCTCATTTGGAAAAGGACATAACAAAACCCTGTGTTTTGATTTGGTTCCCTCTTATTTGTCTCTTGTGATCATTGGTTTACCATGATTCTACCTCCATGACTCTGTTATCCAGTGGGGTCTGCTACTGTGTACAACTCGTTTCACCATTGCTGGAGAAATAGTTTGCAGAGGAGACTCCTTAATACCATTCCTGAAATCAATATGCAACATTATAAAGAGGTCCAAAAGTTTCTCAAACATACAAAGATGTAACACCTGCCTGACTGATCCTCCCATGGTTAACACTTGCCTGCCTGATCTTGCCTGGATCTCTGGTTAAATGTCTGCCTGCCTGATTCTGTCCCCAGTTGCCTGGTTAACCTTTGCCTACTAGATTAACCTGCTAAAGACTACCTGCGTGCTGGTCCTGCCTGGATTATCCTATTAAGACCTTTATTTGTTTTCCTGGTCCTGATCCTGGCCATGCGCTGTATGGCCTTGTCCTTAGACTTTCCAACTCTCAGTGACTGGTTTCTGAAAGATTTTATATTATGCAACACGATAAAGAGGTCCAAAAGTTTCTCAAACATACAAAGATGTAACACCTGCCTGACTGATCCTCCCATGGTTAACACTTGCCTGCCTGATCTTGCCTGGATCTCTGGTTAAATGTCTGCCTGCCGGATTCTGTCCCCAGTTGCCTGGTTAACCTTTGCCTACTAGACTAATCTGCTAAAGACTACCTGCTTGCTGGTCCTGCCTGGATTATCCTATTAAGACCTTTATTTGTTTTCCTGGTCCTGATCCTGGCCATGCGCTGTATGGCCTTGTCCTTAGACTTTCCAACTCTCAGTGACTGGTTTCTGAAAGATTTTATATTAAGTATGTTTGTTTTGTCCTTTCTCTGCATTCCGAGCTTATTTACCCCAAATCGTTACATCCTAGCCACATCTCCACTGCCTGTGACTAACACAGCCTATGTGAATTCTTTTTTCATATTTACTGCACAGTGTGTTTACTTCAGAAGTACTTGTCTCCAGCTCTGTTAATTGAACTTTAATCACACACAGGAAGCTGCTGCGTGCTCTGGCACACAATTAGCAGTGTTGCCGATAAGAAATGATAAATTAAACACACTGTGCAATAATATAAACTAACAACATTTTAGTGCTTTTTCAGGAAGTGTTTAGGAAAGCTGTGCAAGTCTGGCCTTGGCTGGTGTGGCTAGGCTGCAAAAATAAAGTGATTTAACTCCCAAGTGGCAAAGACTTGAGTAGTTAGACTGCAGAAACATTATCTATGTACTAAAGCCACTTAATAATGTTAAAGTTGATTTGCGTGGCCCTTTAAGCAGTGTCAGGATTTTGTATTCTTACCCCCTGTCACCTTACTGCAGATATTATTGTTTTAATATTTATGCAGCTTTCAATTTCCTTTCCAGAATTTTCCATTATTCAAATTTTTATGGTATGCTGTTAAGTGGAAGTAATTTTATAATCAGGCTTCAATAAAACCTTTATTTAATACAACCCTGTATTTATTAATTAAAGGCTGCACTCTAGATATTCACCATTACTTCAAATGATTTGTAACATGTTTTGCAAAACATCTTTATTTTATTTTATTTTTTTGCAGTCATAGTACCTTCATTAAATTGGTGCCACTGATTCAAAGAATACAATTGGCTCTGCATTTAACATGTTATGGCTTTTCTTTCATAATTGTATTTAAAATCTTTCAAAAATATTATTTAATGCATTAATACATAAATTAAAATAGTCAACCTCTTAATTCCTTACAAATACAATGCATATTTAAAGTAAGCAGAAATAGTGCAAAGCAAATATTTAATATATTTTTTTTAAAATACAAGAATTTCTTTAGGCTGACTTCTAAACATAACACTGCAATATATTACATTGAGATTGTTGGTACCATACATTTATTAAGGCATGAACATGATTTTATTTCAGTGAAGGTGAAGGAATATTATGATATATACAGTGTTTTGACAATCCAAAGTCTTGCCTATTAGTAATACTAAACATTAGAGGAATCAAAATTGTGCCTACAAGAAAACAAACTAATCTTTGAAGTTGTCATTTATGTATTAACGACTCCCGTTTCTGGGTCATGGGAACGTTAATATCTTCAATATATAAATTTCCATTTTATTAAATGCAAAAAGTCCTGAGAAATTTTAGCAAGTAAATTAAATAAATTAATTACAGTGGATGTGAGACAAGAATGTGCAGAACAGTCTCCTAAAAATTCAACAATATATTGGGGTCATGTTCCAATTTTTGAATTTTCCTGGTCTTGGAAAGAATAGGTCTCCCAATTTTAGTAGAAATCCAAAAATACCTTTAAAAGGCATAATTTTTATTCCTGCCCCATATGTGTCCATAATAGAAAATGTGATTTTGAATTGTTAACACAAAAATGTGGTTGATTTTTTAAAATATTTTTATATTTTTGTTTTCTCACAAATTATCTTTCTCATTAACTTATTTAGGAATTCTGAATTTCTATATTGGTGAAAAAAGACTGATTCTAGAATTCACATCACACTGCAATATAGGGAATCTATTCATTAAAACCCAGTGTATACATGTTCTTTTTTCAAAGAAACAAGATACCTATAATTAGAGACCCATGCTTTAGATTTTACAGGCTATTAATTCCATGGCTATGAGCGTATGTGAATGTCTATAGCAAGGTAGATGGATGCATTAATCAACCTTCCAGTAGGCATGGCATGAGATAACATGTTAGAAACATTAAGGAATACTCTGGCTTCATATATTAGGTATGTGACTAGAAAATACAGAGACAAGAATCAAGGCAATGCAGGTTGACAGTACGTGGCCAGACTCAGTACTTCTGGAAAAAATATGCATTGCCAACATGCTCGTATTCTATGATTATTCCCATTTTCATTACCAAAATAAAATACATACTGTATATCTAATTTTCCGCTCAGCGGGTGCAGGTAATTCCTTTCTCTTATATAACACATTTTATACATCTCTGGTTCAATGCTGTCGGCTCAAGTAGGGAAACAGGATATCTGTGCCAGAATTTGTAGATATCTCTTCCTTGTTCCACTGCATGTCACTGCATTAGGAGTACTTAAAAGGAACGCGAAAGCGTTAGAAATACAAACCTGTATTCCTTATGCTTCAGTGTTCCTGATCCTAGTTATATAGGTACTCCCCATGTATTCCACAAAAAAGCTTTTTACTTAAATAAAATAATTAAATCAATGCTTTCCTGTAGGTGCTGCAATGCCTTGTGATCAATTTTTACTAGCTAGTTGAACATTGACAGCCACTGGAGGTGAGTTTAACCCTGCAATGTAAATATTTCTATGTCTGCAAAATGGCAATGTTTTCCCTTGAATGGCTAAATTGAGAGGACCACTGCACCCAGACCACTTACTAAGATGTCCTATGCCTGCAATATCACCACTAATAGACACAGCCACTAATTTGAGACTACTCTAGCAGACTCTAGATCGACAAGAAAATAATGGGGTTATAGGGAATGCTGAGTCACATCTTGGAACTCAGGACAGAATCGTAACTGGTGAATTTCTTCTTTTATTGCCCCATTTGAACCCACGTTCACTGTAGGCATACCATTTTGTTATGTGAGAATTGGAGAATTATTAACTGAATATCTGTGTAGATGGACGGAACATCATTTTCCAAAACAGCAAGGTTTTACCTTGCCAGATATGATGCATATAATCTATACAAAATGTGACCAATTACCCAAAAAACAATGAGTGAATTTTCCATTGTCTATTGTTCTAAAATTAAAATTTTCATGATAGGGTTCTAAAAAAAAAATACTTGTATATACACAAAATGGAACTTATTTGGAATTAGTGCAACAGAACAAATATCTGAACCTGCACACATTGTAGAGCATATGGAGCAAATGCTATAGACCTCATGGGCATAATTAGCTATATGACAAAGCTGGATCTGCTATAGTGACTGAGGGGTTTATTTATTAAGCAGGGGATTGCGGTGAACTGACAGGAGAATTGTAAAACTTAGACCAAATTTAAAAAGTGGTTGATTTGTAGGATTTTCCAGCTTTGTAATGCTGTCCTTAATATTTTAATTCTTTCATTAGTTCGATCAATTCATCACAATTCCCTGTTCTGTGAAAAAAGTATGTTACATGTATTCTGCATATAATGATATTCTGAATGCTTGCAACTGTTGAAGGAGTAAGGGGTGGAGAAGGGGGTATAGTTCATTATCACCAGGAGTCTACACAGAAATATTAAAAAAATAAATATACAGAAAAAATATATTCTTTACTCAGTTTGGGTCACCTACACTTTCTGAAAAAGCAACAAAATTATAAATTAAATATTCAAATCACATGGGCTGCAGTTTAACACATGTAACAGTTATAGATTTCCTGCAGTTCCCTTGTACCTGTCTTTGAGTGCTCAACTTCATCAATAAAAACAAGATCTAATATTCCGATAATGCATTATGCAGCAAAACGCAAGGTTCAATCCAGCTAATATATACAGAGCTGCCATTGAGATATACTGTGCAATTTTAGGGCCCCTGGAAATAACAGTGTAATCCTACCTGTACTGGGGTCCACTAATACTGATAAATCATTTGGTTTCTGAGCGCATCTAGCTTACTGTTGCATACTATTTAGCTGTAAACAAAAGACTCATTAGCATATATACAAGAAATATACATGTGGTTACATTTTCTATTCAATCACATATTGTGAGTTATGCAACACTCGATTCTTAAATTTCTGCCCTAATGTAATGCAATGTTCACAGTGAGATGGTAATGCATACATAGGAAAGAAATAAAAGCATGGACTAACCATACTGAAGTAATGTTCTCAAACATTCATTAGAAGCACTGCTTTATTCAAGTCTTTGCTCAATAAACCATTCTCTGGTCAGTCCCTTATAATACATAAAATGTCCATTAGTAGAGACTCATCAGTGGAGAAGCCTGTTGCAGAATGACTATTTTTTGTAGCCTTAGAATGTTCACAAAAATGTTTTAGTAAGGCCTCCAGACAGACTCATCCATTCTACCACTTGTGGTCATGGTTGTAGGGGAATTACTATGGCTACCATCAGCATCAACTCCATCACTTTGGTTGGCCAAGTTGTGGTTCATTAAATTATTCCCAGCTGATATGCTGGTACAAGAGGAGAGTATTCTTGATGGAGAGCGCTCTCCTGCTACCATAGAGAATTGGTAAGAACCCGATGATGTGCCGTAGTATAAATGATATGGAGATGCGTTTGTCTGGAATGGTCCACTTTGGTTTTGAGAAGAGCCAGGGTAAGGGGGTGGAAGGTAGGTGTGATGGAACCGAGTAGCGGTTGGCATGCCAGTCATGCTAATGCCTCCAATTCCAGTTGTTGAAGGTGATGCTGTGTAGGAAAAGGCAGAGGACATAGCTCCTTGATAATGCATGCGAGCATCTTGAAATCTGGACTCTGTAAGCGATGGAAGAGTAGGAAATGAACGATCAAATTGTCTTGGATCAGAGAAAAGATCAGTTGCTGAAATTAAAAAGAGGAAGTTATTAATGAATTATCAACAGGTACATTTTTTTTTTTACATTTCCCTACAAATTAATATGTTCAATCTATGTTTTAAATAGAAAGAAAAACAAAAAAACTCACAAATATGTGTTAACATTCCAATCATACACATGTACCGCACTGGACCCCATAAGCTCCTTCATGCTTGGGACTAAGCAAATCACTTGTTATTTTAATAGCTTGATGACATTAATTAAGTTGACATCAAAGACCTCAGGGTGAGACAAATGGGGGAACTTGATCCCTTGGTGTTTTACCCAGTACAATTCAGATAATCTGCCTAATTAATGTTGCCACACTGCAATAAATGTTTACATAGTGAGAAATAGGCAGGATTGTTTCATGGTGATAATGGTCAAGCATAATATTTTCTCCCTATTTGTAAGGAGAGCTACCAGGGGTAAAAATCCATCCCTAAATGTGGCCTTCTTATTTTGTATTTAAACCCATATGATAAACAAAAAGCTGTAGATTTAAAAAAAAGCACCTTTTTTATATATTACATGTTTTAATATAAACATCCTGTTGTAGCCTATTGAGGAAATAGATATTATCATTACCCATCACTATGGTGCTCACCTCAGCAAGATGTAGGATTTAAATACGTTTGACAGGATTTAAGTCATGGAACTTAAACAGGTGCATACACACATAAACTTGCTTGAAAGAAACACAGCTTGTTGTAACTGTCTATTAGACAAGTAAAATTCCCACCAGACGTTATAGATCCATCATAGATATTTATTAGGCATTCACAGTTTTCACCTGCCATATTGCACTACCCTTTGCAAGATGCTTGTCAGCCCATCATAATTCAGGGACTTATTCACTATACCAGGCATTGGAGAGATTTGACAAAGTAAAAGAACATTTAGCAGAATTGGAAAAAGTATGCAACCCTGATCTCAATTTAATATTTTCATATAAGCCTTTCAAATTATTTAATATTTTTGGATAAATATTTAAAATGATATATTTCCAAAATATTAATATATCAAAAACATATATATAAAAATACATATTAAATATTAAAAATGAGGGGCGGGGCCTGACCGCTGAGCTGAGCGGACACAGGGTAGAGCTACTCCTACTCTGATAGACGAAATTGCGGTATATCAGCCACGAACCGCGCTCAACCGACTCAAAAGTGTCACTAACGGAGAGGTGAAACTGTGGGGCACATGCAGACACCAAATAAGCAACCTATCTGGCGAGACTTAATGGAGCGACACCTGCAGCCTATAAGCATGGGCGGCGTGGGGGAGGCGGCCACTCCCTCGCAGCCCGCTACAGCTGAAATCGGGTCCAGCCTTTGTTCCCCACCCCCTATAGACCGGTGGGGGTTTCCCGGTCCCATGAGAGCCCTCCCAGGTTGCAGTACAGCATCCTAAAACGGAGCTCGCCAACCCCAAAATGGCGGTGAAAGCCACTGGAACACCTGACATAGTAAAGGGGCCTGACACTCTCGCACGGCTAAATGCCATATTTGCAGCCTTCTGGAGGAAACTTGAACACCAAGCCATGACACACACTCCAGATGAGGATGCACTGCCACCGCAGCCCACACGCTCCCGCCTCCAAGGCACATCCTACAAAGGGAAGCAAGCACGAAAATGGCGCCACTGAAAACGTCTCTACCCGTCAGCAAGCAAGCTCATGCTGATGCACCCTGATGTGCTCACCTTCTCACGCAAGTACAAGCTAGCCCTATCCAAACACACCTCACGGTCCTTGATCAACGCTAGCTCCAAGAAGAGCCTCCACCCCCTCAAGCACAGTACCGGGACAGCACCGAGGAGCACATGGCGGGCCTGAGAAGCAGGTCCTACCGCGGTCATCCTGCAGAGTGCCCTTCACTTGCATGCACAGCTAGACCCAACACCGAGACATGGGCGGAGAACACCCTCACGGCTCATTGGAGACAGATACCTGCTGAGAAGTTCTTCCTCCCAGAGCACCTGTCAAGCCTCCAGAGCTGGCATCGGCTGAGTAATGAGGATTGTGTAGGGGACAAGTTCTGACACTGAAAATCTGAAGGCAGATAGCCTAATCATACAGCCGGTAGTCAGACACATTATTAAGTACTTGTGACTCTCTTGCTTTCATGCTAGATAATACTAGTAATTGCTCAGTAAATGCTCAGATTACATGTGACTTACCACAGATTCAAATCTTAAAGCTATAGCCTGACCGCTAGCCTGAATCATGCCGGATTAACACATCATCTGTAATGCCTAATAGATATGTCTCCTAACCACCCAATTCACTTACATATATTAACAAATATCCACAGCATGTTACTCTACTCTTAACTGACACATTAGTTCCTAACTTCTCCTACTTGTTATATGCCTGGGTGGTGCACTCTTGTTTAGCAACCGATATGACTACTACTATTCTTGTGAGCCTAGCCTGTTTATAACTAACACAACGTAGTATTATTTTATGCTCCTTGCATATATTACCTAACCTAGCATGTTTCCTTTTATAAACCTGTTATTATACCTTCTTAAAAATCTAGTGCATGTTAAACTCACTGCCTTATAACATGTAAGCTATGTACCCTTACTCTCTTGTTTAATGCTATTGGGGCATGACAAGCTGTATGTTCTCATCTGCACTACAAAAATAAAGAATTTAAAAAAAAAAAAAAAATAATACAAAATTAAAATATTGTTGTAAGATGAAATTATTTTAAAAGTTTATACAAAAATATTAAATAAGTTAAAAAGCTTATCCAACTTTGGCCTCGATTTAATAAGCTTTCCGGGTGATTCAATAGATTTAGAAAAACTTCCAAATGATTCATCTACGAAAATTTCCACAGATTTTAAAGGTGACTTCTGTAGATAAATACATTTTTCTAACAGTATTGAATCATTTGGAACGTTTAATAAATTGAGAAACAGGGGCGAGGGCGGGCCACCATGCTGGTTGGTAGCATGTAAGACCAGCTCCTTCAATCTATCAGCCTTTTGACCCATTTAAGCGGTCCAGTCCGGCATCAGGGGCTGAGGAGTGATGGCACACATCAGTGGGAGGTGCTGGTCCTGACTTTGAGCCCGAAACCTGCGCTTTGTCCCCTTGTGGCAAAGGTTCCAGTGACCAAGGCCTGATCAGGCAGTGAGTATGGTGGACGGCTGCTGCCCTGCTATCCTGCCTGTCAGCCATGGGCCATACCCTTTGATTTACTAAGTGCCAGCCCTGCTCCCCCCCCTCTGGGCTGGGGGGGGGAGGGTAATCCCAGTCCACCCTGGGGTCCCCCTATCAGTGCCTGACATCGTCGGAGGACTCCCTTACCTACTAAGATGGTGGCGAAGTCTGCTCTGCAATCCAGGCACTCCATGGAGAGAGTGGCCTCACACAGGGCTCTTGCGCCCTCTGCCGACAAAGCTGGAAACCGTTACCTGAGCTTATACAGGGGCACTAATAATTGACACCGAGGTCCCATGGCAGGGAGCATCTGAGACCCTAAGGCTGCATAACCCTCAAAGCTGTGTTGTGGTCCCTCATCGCCCCACCCTGAGGTACTGAACTGAGTTATGGCTGTCTGACATGGCCTGGCTGGCCTACAGCTGAGTATTAGGACTGCATCCTGCAGCCGGCTGGGATTCAGTTGTGGGAACTGTGGTTGCCTCCCAGTGGGCTAACTCGTAATCATTCTTGTGACTTCTTACACTCTGACTGGCTTAGTTTTTTACAGGGCCCAGGGATTTATACTAGTCATGCATGTATCCCTCTGTTTTATGTCAATTATCTGAATATCTTTCTCATGCTACACTGTCTAACTTTTTTCCTATTCCTTATTCTTAACCAAAAGTACACTACTCATGTAATAAGCAACTAGTTTTTTGTTTTTTTCTTCACCTCACAACATGTGCAGAGATATCAAATGCCATATACTTGTTAATCTATGCTGATCAAATAGCTTGCACTAGCTATTGTGGCATTGCAAGCCTGTCTGTGCCATCTATGCACAATCAAAATAAAGAATAAAAAATGAGACCAATAATATTAGATCAAGGCTTCTATTTGCTATATATATTGATACTTTTTTAATTCAGCTGCTGTGGCATAAAATGTTTGTTCCATTGGAATTACCGTGCCTTTCTCACTTTACTAAATAAGCCCCATCACTGTTTAGTGAACAATGTCTTAATCCAGCTGTTAAACTGATCACAGACTAGATGAAAAATAAAAACCATTCCAAAAAATCCAATTCCTTCTATTTATACATAGACAGATACATATACATCCCCTACACATATACTGCACACCGTCTATTAATATAACATACATACAATATGCAGCAAGGTACCTCAGCCAGTCTTGCATTCCCCTGCACAGTATAGCCTGCTGGAAGGAGTGCTGTATTGCACCGCCTCAACTTTGCCAATCAAAATATTTCAAGGAAATGTTTATTTTCTTCTCAAAATCACACCAGCTGCTGCATCAAGTGAATGAGCCCATTTAGCCATAAGAATTTAGCCATTGTGAGCCCCAGCACAGGGACCACGGGCTTCCAAATCTGACCTGATCTATCTACGGAAATATCAATGTTTTGGGTTGGGAACGAGGTAAATCGCAATGTGTATATAAATTAAGAGCCATGTAGAGGTCAATGCTGCTGTCCATGTACCTGGCTTACACATTTGTTAATGCTCACTACCTTGATCTATTATTTTAGGTGTATACTTATAAAGGCTTAAGTAAGTTAACCGTCTCTTTAACTTAGGTTCACACAGAATAATCATCATGCAAGGATGAGATGATATAATGATAGAATAATTTTAATTAATTGGGGATTCAACAATTAGAAGAAAGGAGCTGGGGAAGACTGAGCTACAAACAACATGTAGAAGAGGGATATAAGGGGAAATATCGTATGTGTGGGGAATCTGTATTTTTAATGTAGATGTGGTGGATTCATTTCACTGCCTCCCAGCAGAAGGGAAAAGATTTAAAAAAATTATTTGCATGTCTGTATGCGGTTGTCAGGTCAAGCGGAAAGGTAGACTTATCACGTACAACTAAAAAAAACCCGCACAATTCCAATGTATCAGCTGGTTTTGACATATTATAGGTAAAATGGGCAGTCTGCGTGCTATCCTCCTTTTTCTTTCACTGTAGCAGTATTTGTGATATAACAGTAATATCACGTTTCTGAAAATTCCAATCATACCTATTACTGTGACAACTAATAAGAGGTAATTGTTTTGACACAGAAAAAATAAAAAAAATCTTTAATTATTATTCTGCTTATTTGTATGTTTTATTTATATGCTACCAATCTTAATATCTAATGCAGAGGAGCCCAAAAAGTACATCTCCAAATGTCTTAAAACTAGAGCTTCCATGATGCTTTGTTATTCTAAGGGTATGCAAAGCATCATGGGAGTTTTAGTTCTATTACATCAGGAGATCTACATTTTGGGCACCCCTGATCTAAGGTAATAAGGGAGTAGTTTACACATACACACACACAGCATGCCTACATTGTCCACTATAGCCTGTATTTAACAAGGTGTCCAGATTATTCAAAACTGTTAGAAAACCCTTACAAATTATTTATCTACAGAAGTCAACATTAAAGACTATTGGAATTTGCATAGATAAATCATTTGGAAAGGTTTTCTAATGGTATTGAATAATTTGGAAATAATATAAAATAATCAATAATAATAAAAAAAAATTATAATTTGGAAAGCTTATTAAATCAAGGCTCATTTTAGGTGCAGATACAGAGACCAATTTGGATGATATATCAATGGGATGATTTAGAGAATTTAGCAATTTGTGGAAACATATAGTTGGGTACTAGGTACAGCAGAGCAACAGAGATATGCTTATAGAAAACTGCCACAAACCAAATATAATATTTATGTTAAAATATAATCTTACTAGGCAATAATAAAACGTGAACATTTGACTTTATTGAAAGGTTCAGGTTTTATTTAATGCTGAATTGATTGGAAGTTTTTTATCAAAATAATCCCTCATCAAAGACTATTTAATTCTGCTCACTATAGATACAACTAATACATAAACATAATTTCATCTGGAGCATATTAAAGGACCACTATAGTGCCAGGAAAACATACTAGTTTTCCTGGCACTATAGTGCCCTGAGGGTGCCCCCACCCTCAGGGTCCCACTCCCGCCGGGCTGGATGGCGAGGAAAGGGGTTAAACTTACCTTTTTTCCAGCGCCGGGCGGGAAGCTCTCCGCCTCCGATCCTCCTCTTCGACTGAATGCGCATGCGTGGCAGGAGCTGCGCGCTCATTCAGCCGGTCTCATAGGAAAGCATTTACAATGAGACAGCCACTAGAGGATTTGGAGGCTAGTTTAACCCATTTATAAACATAGCAGTTAATCCTGGAGGGACCTGGCACCCAGACCACATTAAGCTGAAGTGGTCTGGGTGCCTAGAGTGGTCCTTTAATCTGCATGGTTGCTGTTTTTTAGATCACAGAAACATGTACTTTATTCCATATCTAACATGATATGTGAACATTTATTTCCATAATTGTTTATTTTGTTTTATATTTTAATTTTTATCAAGTTCTTCTTCCAAAAGCAACACAAATATATCAAGAATTGTTTTATTCTAGTAAGTAGAAGATCATTTTTTAATAGTACAGCTGTAAAAAAACTTTGTAGCTGAAACATAGAAGAAAACAGGAATACGACAGGCATGCTCCTTACAAACAGAAAGTGTTGTGAGCAAACTTTAGAGCAAGAATATATGTTTGCAAAAAAAGAGAAAGCGTTTGAAGAGTAAGTAGAGCACGGTGGGGATGTGAATTACTGTGTTACATCTGTCGTGTTTAAAAACATGTACAACAATCTTACACAAATACATTGATTTATGAATATCTTCATAAAGAACATAGCATATAAAAGGATATGTTACGATAGGGTTATATCATCGTTTAAAAGTTCCTTATGCGGTTTAATACAATTTTCAGGGGCAGATTAACGTGCCATCATCTCTGGACACCAAAAAGTAGTCACATTAATTCTCTTAACCACTAAAAGCTTTGAAAAAAAAGCATGAATGACATGGGTTATGGAATGGCTTACGTAGCACACTGAAAGATTGTCTTTGGATACATATTTAATGCTCCTTTTCTCTCTCAAAAACCCTAAAAATTTTGTTTGAGTAATTCTTTACTTGCCTCTCTCTTTACGAAAATAGATTAATGCAGTATTTACAATATTCCAACATAAAGATTTATGTCTTCTCATTCCTAAAAACAATTACTTTAATCTATGAATTAATATTATAGAGTGGGATTTTGAGATGGACAGTTTTCCTGTCAGTTTATGTCAATTTATAAATTGATAGCTCTTAATCATATAAATTCTATTTATATAAAATAAAATTCTGCTATATCTACTATAGCACTATTATTATAATTGTATTATTGAGAAATAAATATTTGCCAGTGGGTTGCTGTCTCTACAATTCAATAAAACACATTTACTAGCTAATAGCTTAATTTTTAAAATACATTAAGAGATTAAGCTTAGCACAGGTGGCCAGAGTATGAGGGGTTAAATATCGTAATAATGTGAAATGCCAGCAGACTGTTATTGTAACACGATGTTTATTTTCTGTACCCTTCCAAACCTCCAGAGGAAAAGAAATATTACAGAATTTCTGTTCCTCTATTCAGCTGGATTCGAACCAAAGGCTTGTCTGGCCTTGTTGTGGTCCCAGAATGCTTTGCTGAATGGCAAAATGAGTTGAATTGATTAACATATTCACTGCTCTAAGCAAGTGATGACCCACAATAAGCCACAAGGCTGCATTGACACTTAAAGGAGCACAAGTAAAACCACAGTACTTGCAACTCACCATGATTTGGATATTTTCTATATTTTAACTTGTGTTTATTGAGTAAACACTCGGTAATGTCTATCCTGTTAAAAAAAACAGTTAAATCAGATATCTATTTTTTTTGCCACAAACTTATATTTAGGACACTGGAAATTTCCAGTTTTTGCTGACACCAGATATCAGTGCTAAAATAACGGCATGCATTGTATCTCTTCTGGTTAGATTCTTGTGGGGAACTGGAAACTCTTAGTTTGCTACTAGATGTCAGACACAATTACTGTACAGAGACTGTATATTGTTCAGCCATCCTTTATACTTATAGCATAGGGCTTTCATTTCGCCACAAGAAGCCCTACTTATGTAAATACATCTGAAACATTTGGGGGCCAAAAGATCATGATCACATAGCTGCCAATGAAACACACTTAAGTATTTAAGTATTTTTTCAGAAGGATCGGTTTATTCCATGATATTCTTAGTTCCAGGGACTTTTTGGTAATGTAGACATTTATGTGTCACAATATGCCAATCAGTAGAAACAAAATGCTAAACTGTACCAAACTGAAAAAGGCTTACGTCTCCCAGTATTGGGGTCATATAGATCCACATGTTCACTGCCCACAAGAAATGTTACAGGGCATAATGCAAAAATGTGAATTATAATAATAATGATAATAATAACTGGAGTTCCTGGGACACCCTATAAATATGGGTACTCATCTCCCATACAATTATTGTGTTATCGGTGCAACGATCAATCTCTTCCTCACCCAGTCTGCCCTAAGTCATTTTCACCTTTTAAGGGCCCACTGCTTTTGTTTTAATAACCCATACACATAAAGTGAGGGAAGAGACAGTAACCAAATTCTGCCAATCCTTGTAGATATATATAAATGTAATAATGTTATATGTATATATGTAAATTAGATTAGAATATTTATATAAACTAACATGCAGGCAGAAAGTTGTAGAAAACCTCTCTTCCTGAGATTTATGGTAATAGATTTGTGATTCCCAATTAGATTTATGTGGATGGTTCCTAAATGCTATATTGTTGGTGGCCTTTGAGTAGTGGTAAAAGAACATAGAACAGCATATAAACTGAAGATGCTTACCTCATGTATTTCTTGCAGTTTATCTGCTACCTGTTCATAGGATTTATTTTCTACATCATAAATTTCACTATTTGTAGTTGAATTGACAACCAAACAGTAAATGTAGACCAAAATTACTGAGTTCTAAAGGATTCAGACTCTGATATTTTGGCCTACAAGGACATCCCAATCTGCAAATGGCCATCTCATTTGTTAATAGACTAAAATACACATACACATATAAATAAAGTGCATGTGTTTGTAAATGTGGGAATCTTGACCAACACCCACTGGTTTTTGCACCTCTCTTTGTCACAGATGCTTCATTACAACGCCCTATTAAAAAAGTCACTATATCCAAAAAACATCTTTTATGTTATATAATTATAATTATTAATTGCAAAAAATAATAAAAATTTTTGTAAGCCTTTTTAGGTACTGTTTTTTTGTTTGTTTTGTTTTTTAGAAACTGGCCTCTGTAGCTAATGAAGATCCACCATCTTTTAGCCTGGCACTTACTTCGTTGTTAGAGACTGGTGTTTTTTTTATTTTTTTTATATATGGATTTGTATAAAAGAATACATAGTTTTGGGTGTATTTTAGTTCAAGGGCTGTTTAAGTATTAATTAAAATGGTGATTTACTATAAGACTATTGTCGACTAAAACTCTAACAAGGCCCAGCCTATCAATGAATGAGGTTAATTGCAGTTATATTTCGTATAAGCTATATTTAAGTGTTTGCCTCTCTATCGTATTACATTAGTTAATTAATGTTCTAGCACCCACCATCCTAAGCCAGAATCTCAATGAGGAGGATAGCAGTTGCAGTCCAAAAGGGGCAGACAAATTACACAATTAATAGGACAAAAATTCCTATTGAGGAAAGGCAGAGGACAGAATCAAACAGCATTTCATGTTACTTGTTCAAGGGTTAGTATGCAGTGTGTGTTGTCATCAGACACAAATGTTGCACAATAAAATACTACTTTGACATGACAACCACTATGTTGTTTCATCACTTTCCTCATTAAGGCATTGTCTTGCTCATTCCGAGAGAATATCTATGGAGGCTCCTGTGGACTCGCAGGATCCTCCATAGACATCAGTATTGTACATGTGCTAGAGTACAGGACTGAAATGGTCTCCAGGTTGATGAAGCGCCAGGAGCTGAAAATCCAAGTCTGAGGCTGGGGATAGCATCAGGTAAGTATAACTCACCTCCATTGCACCCCCAAGCCACCACAACCAATCCAAAATATGCAAATACCGCAGAAGGTAGCAGAGTCATTTTATATAAAAGTCTATGAAGCATTACTGTGCAGACAGTGAATTTTCATGATGTAATGAAAGCGTATGGTTCAGTAAAAAAAAAACAAAAAACAACCCACTGACCTTATAAATTATAGGGTTTTTTCATAATAGGGTTTTTTTCCTGGGTTTATCATTAAGCACAAAATGTTAGCAAATTAAATATGAATATTAAGACTAAAATAGCCAATTTGTGACTACAGCTGAGTTGGTAATTTCTCCAAGCCAGCTACATTAGCCTCAATTTTGCCATTCAGATTTAATTTGATAAAGTTTGGTGATAATGAATAAATTTGTATTTAACAATCTAGTGTTGCAAAGGATTTTATCAACAAATTTAATGTACTATATACCGGTGCCAGTTATTATCAGCCCTTACATCTCTTTGTTTTGTTGTGAGTTGTGGTGGCTTTTTTGCTGTGACACTTTGTTCTGGGTTTGCACTGCGGTGTTCTGTTGTATGCCGGCTTTTGTCAGCTTTACACAGACACTCCTCTTATCCATGTGGCTTTCGCATAAGTTTTGGGTCCCAAGCTGTCTTCTATCAGCAATATATGAAGCCTAGCCTATGTTTGGTGAATCGTTCTGCCATTAATACTTAAGCCCACAGGGGATTAATATTTTGTGCAACCTGCCCACCGTAGGCTCAGTAATTAACTCCACCCAAGATTGGCAGCTTGGATGTTTCCCCAGTAGTTGGTAATCAGACTTTAGTCTCTCTTTTTCCTTTTATGGTGTTCTGGATCCAAACTTCTAATTGCTGACCTCAACTTCATAGAGACGTGAGGAGGTACGCTGTTTTCTTTTTTCTTTATTATCATTTTACTGTTTTATTTTATTTGAGTATGATGGATTTGAAATATGTAAGTGATATTCTTTTGTAATATGTAAATGCAATATAACTGTTTGCTAATTTGTTTTTTAACACGTAATTTGTTAATTGATTGTTAATGTGTTTAAATCCTATATATAGGGTTGGCTGCACAAAGGTGATAGCTTGACAAAGGCCTCTGCGTAGGACGAAACGTTGCAGCTTTTCTTGTTCTAATAAAGTTGCTGTTTGAGAAATCCAGATATCCTGGACCTGATTTATTTTTATTTACAAACTTAATGTAATGGCAGGCAGCATCTACTTCCCTTTTAACACCCACTGACAGATTGTCTGCAGGTATACCTGTTGCTTAAATCCAATTCAATTCACAAACACACATATATGCTACATACCCTGAGCACACCGGTGTAAATAAACACTTGTTAACACTCAAATACATAATTCCCTTCGGGTGTCTATCCTGCTTACTCACGATTTAAGGGAACATTATGATCTTAATGGATTGGTCCTCAGAGATCCATTGTAACAATATGATAACTAGATATTGCCATTTTTTTTAAGTGCTTTACTCCCACCGTGGGGCTCAAGTACATTATGGAAGCATTTAATAAAACATTTTTGTTTGCTGCTGCTGCAGTAGCAATGGACACATTTTTCAAAGTATACACACACAAACACACTCATTCACGTGCTTGGCTCTTCACAATGTTGGCTTTGCAATAAAAACCACATTACTGTTCTATTTAATTACATGCCAAAAACCTATGGCTTAGGGGCATTTCCCATGAAATAGGAAAAAAAAACCTTGTTTGAAATCTCAAACCACTGTTTAACACTTCAGCTGCCATAGAGAATAAAAATAAACAATGTTTAGCCAAGGTGGCTTAGCGTTCTTGAAATGTCCCTGCATGAAGATATTCATTTCTGTGTGTTTCTGGTTGGTTGATTTTTGTGGGTTCCACTGAGCACTCTATAGACTGTACTGAAAACAACTGTAGTCTGATTCATCAGTTTGTGAGGTCTCAGATTTTTACACAAATATGGTTAGTACATTTTTTGAATGGTGTTTTGGAATGTTTAAATATTACATTATTTCTCTACTGAATGTCATTCATTTATTAAATTCCACTCGGAATGGGCTGATGGTTCTCTGATCTTTCAGAAATCTAAACTGTGATCTTAAGAATTGGTGCACTAACCAATTTGTATAATAAGACGTATGAGAAGCTTGGGTATTGGCAGGTAATAATCTAAAACATCAATGTGATTAAAAAAAAACATGCTAACAAAAAATGTTTTGCCTTTAAAAAAACAAACCCCTAATTAACCATACACAATTAATGGGACACTCAACTGCCCAAATACAAAATAAATAAAAATCACTGTTTAGTACATATACTCCAATTGGAAAATTGCATGCATTTAATTATGCATTTTTCATTGATTATATCTAAAAACCTCGTGCAAAACCTACAGTTCTCATGTCTGCTTCTTTTGCAATCCCTCCTCTTCTAACCCCACCCAGACTTTCTGTGCCTGTCCAATCACAGACTTCACAATACAGCTCAATGAGAAATATTTGCAAGGAAGGTGCTCTTGGCAGTTGCTGCCTCTTGAATTTAGCTCCACTTTAGCTCCACTTAGCCAAACAGGTAAGTAACAGGATATGTTGAATGCTTGAAGGCAGGTTATCTAAAAGTGTAAATTTCTATTAAAAAATCTGGACTGTTTTTGCAAAACTAAAAAATAGGGCACCATCTTCACACATAATGCTCTTCACAAAGCTAGAGTGCTTTAGGGGTCCAGCCTCAATCAACCCTTCATAACCCATTCCTCACCTTGTCAAATCTTACCTTGTATTTGAGACTGAGCTTGGTTGCTGAAGTGGTTTGGGTTTGTCAGAGTTGGACGTGGATTTGGGTTTGATTGAGCTCTGAGAGTTTGCCGGCGCATGAGTTCCAATTCGCTGAAACGTTCGGAGAAGACCTTGCCTTGCTCTTCAAGCTTCTGGCGGTGCCCTAGAAACCCCAAAAGGCCCAAAGATTAATTTAGATGTACACCTGGATTGACAGTAGCAGTGTATACTTTCTACACAAACAGTCTTATCATTAGCCCAGCATCTCCAATGAAACATTAGCCTAAATAGGCCTGAAAAAGGGAAGTACATTTAAAAACTGCAATTCTTGATGCAGTGTCTATGACCAGGTCTTATTTCTTCTGAATATATCACAAACAGAAAATTATTTTAAAATCCCAGGCATGTTCACCTTGTTAGTAAGTGTCCTTGGCCAAGACAACTGACGATTTATACCTCAAATCCTCATAGGTTTTAAGCTCCTTTGAGAAGAGCCTTATTTACTTTTAGATATCCTCTTTCTATAATTGGTGCTATATCTAATACACGATGTGTAAACAAAGCAATGTGCAAATATATGGATGGCATTATAATGATACATTTCCTTTTCCCCATTTCCTCTTTGCCTTAAACACAAAGCGGTACGAACTGTATATACGACTGTTTCATTAGATATCAACACACCTCTAAATTTGGGCCTATCATAATCCTTATTTGAGGATCAATAAAGCTCTTAATTCACAACTGCAGGAAACATTAACTACTCATTTAAAATGATCTGATTTTCGGTATCTACTCCATTGTCTGTAAATTGCTTAGAATCATCATAGCCTTGTAAATCCTTGCACACATTGTTGACTCTACATAAATAAAGTTATATATACACTGAAAGCTCATTTAGAAAGATCTGTCCAACTCTGTAACTTCTGAGCAAGAATTAAAAAAAAAAAAAAAAAACATTTAAAAATGTGTTTTCCTCCCCATTGTCTCTCTCATGGTTTCCTTGTTTTCCTTAATTGAAACCATTTTTATATCTAAAATTAGAACCGTTACATAACAGGATTATCAAGTGAAATGCAGTCACGGCGCATCTGGCTTGCACATGAGAATAAATGCTAATGTTGAAGTTTATATTTTTGTGCATAAAAATGAGCAAGTGAGAATCTATATTACACATTTTGGCTATCTCTTGATATTTTAAGGGACCAATAGTGTGTTTCTATAGAATAGCGATCACTTCACACATAGCAGCTTTTAATGTTTAATTTTTTGCTTCTATCTTTGGAGCTACTTCAAGTACCATTGAGTGTATAAATAAGCATTCACTCCTTCCAGGGTCCTAACTTCAAGATAAAATGTTTGTGTTTAATGATATAAAAGGGCACCTCTGCAATATGTTTCCTACTCAGGGTTGTCCTAATCTCTCTTGAGCTTTGGTTTGAATCAAAGCCATTTATATAACTATTAAAGGTCAAAGAAGGTAGAGCTCAGTTCATGTTCCCATATTCCCCTGTTCATCTGCCCAAAATTATCTTTATAGGCCATGGGTGCCTAAAAGTTAGATCCCCGTATGTTTTAAAACTATAGCTTCCATTGCTGTGTCATTCTAAAGGCATTCCAAAGGCATGCAAAGCATCATGGGAGTTTTAGTTTTAAAACATCTGGGGATCTATCTTTTGGGCACCCCTGATATTGACTGAAGTCCTTGAAAGTTAATTTCAGTTCAGGGCCTTCTTAATCTCCTGTTCCAGTATGCCAATCATGTTTTGTTAGAATTAAGTGTTTATCTTGTTTACCTATTGTACAGCTCCAACTCAGACGCCAACTAGGGGTGCTTCCTGGTTCATGAGAAGCACTGATGTTCAGCGTCTCCACACTCTGCATGAAGAATGTTCCCTATCCTCCATTGATTCAATGCATCTCTATGAAGTGATGATTGGCGTAAAGCTGTGTTTTGCTGCACGTGCGCATTAACCTCCCAATGCTTCCCTATGGGAAAGCATTGGATTGACTGAGATCATTAAAATTGATGATCTCAGCAAAGGGGGCAGGACATGGGTGGGGCCAGCCACGAGGAGACTCGCACAGTGCTGGATAAAGGTGAGGAGCAAGGGGAGCTGGATACCGTAATGGTGTTTCAACTCAATAGTGTCAGGAATACACGTTTGTATTCCTGACACTATGGTGTTACTTTAAGGTATAGTGATACTTGTGGTTATACAGGTACATAATGCTCCATTTAAATCCTTTGTGTGGTGCAAAAGTGAATAGGAGTAAAAGTAAATAACATCACATGCAATCATCTGCAAACAGACAGTAGGGGCAAAAATTCTCAATGTCAGAGACTGTCATTCAATTGCTGGTCAGCTGGTCAGATCAGCACAAATCAGTACAGTAGTAGTATAGAGAGAGTTGAGCATCTACTTTCTTTGAATGTATTGAGGAGTTTAAAATGCAGTAACATATAGTAATATATATGTAGTGGTAATATATCAGACATATTGATAGAGTCCTGCTCTGGCCTTTATAAAGTCTCTAGTCTGATTGAGCCTAGATTTTGAACTGTAACCTTATTGCGAAATCACATTAAATGTAGGATGTCATAGGAAAAACATAGGGTGCTTTCTAGAACATTAAATTAGACATTATTGCCATTATAGATGTATATTTGCAAAAATAGGTATGCATGTATATTTGGGAATGAAACATATATATATATCCACATAGACATACACATCTATGTATTGCATGTATATATCAGCTATCTATAAACTATTTACACAGTAGCTAATTGTCTATGTTCCAATATCTGACTGCCTATCTATTTATCTACTCACATATTTTTGAAGAATCATGATCCTGTAGCTGAGCAATAAGAAAAGTCTTCTGTAAAATGTCTTCGTTTTTCCTTCTGCAATTATGGTCTGTAGAGAATAATGTTATAGATGCTTTGTCAGCCTCATTGCCTTATTGCCTACAGACAGACTATTATTCCCACCTTTGAAGTGGCAAAGCGTATGACAGAAGGATGAAATGAGATGGTCACACCAAATTACTTTGCTCATGAGGACACCACAGTGGGAATATTTTTACAGATTGTCCCTCCAGCAAATGGACCTTTCACACTAAGTAGGAATGGGCCTCCTTAAAAGAGTTAATAATACCCATATAAATATTAAATTCACAGAACATGGAAACTTCAGAGTTTAGATTTTCCTCCCCATTGTCACACAATTTTAAATATGTTTCTGCTATAAGCCTGGCTTAATTCCTCCACAGTCACTGTAAAATGGCACATCACATGGCAAACGTGTGGGAGCCAGGTAAATGTGGCAGACATTAGTGATTCCCTGTATTATAGTGTTATCTGGCTAATCTCAAGACTACCTTGATGCCACACATCAAAATAACGTAGAGTTTATAAACAATACCTAAATGGCACTATATGTGTCATTATTGTTTATTCTCGTAAAATTGGATTTTGTCCAATATATGAATTTCTATAAAGAAATCCTTATTTGATGTAGGATAGGAGTGCCAAAAAGGTAGATCTCTAGATGTTTTCAAACTACAGCTTCCATGATGCTTTGGCATTTTAAAGGCATGCAAAACATCATGGGAGTTGTAGTTCTACAACATCTGCGTTGGGCACCCCTGATAAGGGAAATGTTTCATTTTATACGCTCAAATCATACTGATGACATCTCAATATACCCTGATTCCCATAAGGAATATACATGTCCAACATATCCAACAATTTTCAAATTGGGGTCAATTGACATGATTGTTCTTGTCTTGATACAAAATGTGTGACGTGTACATGAAACAGAACAGGATATAGGGAGAAAAAATTTGAGCTACAAAGTAAAACAATGGTTATAACTATAGCGAATGTGGACCATATAGCAGGTACAGTCCATTGTTTGCAAATCAGAGGGACTGGGTAACTTGCTGGAGACAAACGTTTAAGATGGGGTAAAGTAGCATCAGTAATAGAGGATGTGTGAGACACCACAGAACATAGAAACATAGAATGTGATGGCAGATAAGAACCATTCGGCCCATCTAGTCTGCCCAATTTTCTAAATACTTTCATTAGTCCCTAGCCTTATCTTATAGTTAGGATAGCCTTATGCCTATCCCACGCATGCTTAAACTCCCTCACTGTGCTAACCTCTACCACTTCAGCTGGAAGGCTATTCCATACATCCACTACCCTCTCAGTAAAGTAATACTTCCTGATATTATTTTTAAACCCTTGCCCCTCTAATTTAAGACTATGTCCTCTTGTTGTGGTTGTTTTTATTTTAAATATACTCCTCATTTACTGTGTTGATTCCCTTTATGTATTTAAATGTTTCCATCATGTCCCCCCTGTCTCGTCTTTCCTCCAAGCTATACATGTTAAATTAACTATTGTGAATTCTGTGAGAAAATGCATGGTTACATGTAAAAAAAAAAAAAAGGCATGGCTAGGTTGCTTAAGTAGACTATGAGATAACTACAGCATGATATTTCTTTTTAAAATTTATAAATGCTTCTCTATAAAATAAACAAAACAAAAAAAACCCTCATACCTGGAGCACACAAACACAAAATAATATTGTCATTATTGGCTCTTAGAATGCCATTAACTGCAACCTCCCTTGTGTTTTATTATTTTTTGTACAAAACCATATGGTTTAAAGTATGAGGGGGGGTATTAAAAGTCTGTCCTCCCCATATTTTTTTAGGTTACTACACTGAAGGTTGTGTAACATGAAACTTACAAATTATTGATCGACAATAAAGGGAGATTGTTGGCTGGTGGAATAATCTGCAATGGCTACCAACTGTATGGCACATCCGAAAAAACAGTCAGTTTCCTGTTACATGTATTGAATGTTTCCTGTTACATATGTAGCGATTTATCTAGTTCAAATGTATGAAACAAGCCAGCTTAGAAATTTGTGTGGTGATTTCAAGATGGATTCTCTTTGTCAGGCCCTCCCTATATATGCAGGGAGCACCAGGCAAGTATTGTAGGACTTGGCTTAACACAACTTAGAATATGCCATAGCCAATCCTGCAAAGTGCCGGAGGCCACCCCTCAGCCCCCTTCCCTCTCCCCTCCCACCCCACCCACCCCCCAAAAAAGTAAAAAAATAAAATAAAGTCTGTTACCCACTCTTTCTTTTGTTTTTTATTTTTTGGGGGTGGGGGGGTGGGAGACTGGTAAATATTGATGTGAGGGTGAGTACATAAATATCAGACCTTCTCACGGACTGTTGAAATATATGTTTTATGTAATATATCAGAGTAAAAAGAAAATCACTTACATTGACCCATCATAGTTATGGAACATACTCGTTGTCTGCCTGTGGATACAGGCATCCATTAAAATAAAATATAAATAAATAAACAAACTCCACCCCCCCCCCCAAAAAAAAAAACAGTCTATGTTTCCACTGCAGCATGAAAGAAGACACAACTCTACAAAGAAAAATGTAATCCACTGAGCTACAACATAATATCAAAGCTTAGTCTAAAGAATATTATGATTATTTTAAAATGAATTTAAAATGTAAAAACATTTTTGGAAAATATTTGCATAGATTGTAAAATAATCACAAGCAAGAATAATGATCACAAGATATATGAAATATCTCTGTTTCTTAGCACTTTATGCCAAATTCAACAGAAGGAAGGAAGCTGGGAATTTTGAAGACAATCTAGGACATGCTTTGATGTAAATTTCCAAGTGTATATGATTCATCTCTACACATCTGTTTTCCAAGTGCATTAATGCATTTTGCCCTAATAAACCAGTACAGTAGTTGGCATCATGCTCAGTGCCGTAGTGTATATATGATCACTCTATATTATATATACTGCTTAGTCCTGATTCTCTTCTCTGCACTTTGTCGTAGTTGATTTCTGAAATCGTACTGAGTCATTCTATGAAACCACATTTTAACCCCTTAAGGACACATGACGGAAATATTCCGCCATGATTCCCTTTTATTCTAGAAGTTGTGTCCTTAAGGGGTTAAATAAATAGGCTTTTTATTTTTATCTGGTTTCAACTAGATTAGGCAGCTTGCTTACAGGTTGTTAGTCAAACAACGTGAAGGTAACTATTTCCAACTTTAAGGAAAAGGAAAAGAAAACCAACTGCAATGGATGCATTTCATTTACCTTGTTAGATAAACTTGGAAATAATAAAGTAGATTTGCCTGCCATACCTGTATTGTGTCATGGTGCTCTAGATTCCAGGCACACTATGACCTAACTGCGATTTTAGTTTCAATTAGCCCAGTGCTGATAGACTGGCACCCAAATGATAGACGTTGCCCCAGCATAATGTTGGTACATGGAAACTGCCGTTTGCCAACTTGGCATGTTTCTGGTTTGCTGTGCAACCAATTAAAGGAACACTGTGGTGTTAGGAATACATATCTGTATTCCTAATACCCCTTGTTATTTAGGTCCCCCCATCTGTATAAAAAAATAAAATAAAATAAATGAGAAATAAACAAATAAGATGTTAAACCGTCTACAGTGTTCCTTTAAAGCCTATGGCCTAGTGTGAGAGAGCAGCTAGAGCTTAATGTCTTTGTTTTCTAACAGCCTAGGTGACAATTTCATATAAGTCTACTGCAATGAAATCAGGCAACAGATGTTCCTGCTCCTTTAAACTACACCTCCACTGAGCACACAGGAGGTTCCCTAAACCACAATGGCTTGCGGTTATCTATGTATTTTAATTCACGAAAAGTAGATACGTTTTATTACCTTTTGTAAATTCCCCTTGGCGGTTGGGGCAAAACATCAAAGTTGCACTAAATAGGCTAAGGGACCCTAACATTCCATATCATTATTTGTGTTCAAATTGTTGCTGTTGCTGGATATTGGACATGTAAAAAAGCCTATAAAACTTAAGAAAAGAAAAAAAAGTTAGGGCAAAGTCAACTTTCTGTTTATTCGCTGTTTTAAGATTTTTACTTTAGTTGTTTGTGCTACTAAGTCCCGTGTCTGCATCAATTACATAAATCAGGAGATGCACTTTGATGCAGAATAAAATCACTTGCTATTGAGGACCTATTTTCAAAACGTATGGTTTCTGCACCTACAATGACAATACAACTAATTTTGAAGTGCAGACAGAAATCTGAAAATGATGCAGCCTCAATGGATTACTCCAGTTTTAGAATGTTGCCAAATAATTGATCACTCATACGATACATCATAGTGATTTGTAGTGATCTGTACATTACGTGAATGGAAAAATAATAAAGTGCCCTAAATTAAGGAAAGTTTGAGATGTGTTCATGACTTGATGAATAAATAAATGCATTGGAAACAGAAATACTTAAGTTTTCACCTTTTTCTATTACAATGGGTACATTGGGTAAAGAAAATAGGCCTCGATTTAATACGATTTCTAAACGATTCAATACTTTCCAAATGATTCATCTACAAAAATTCTTATAGACCAGGGGAGGACTGACAACTCTCATGGCTCACTATTTTGAAATAAAGAAAGAAAGCAAATTAAATGGCACGCTTGAACTGGGGCTGGTCTTGTAAAGAACGATGTGCATGTGTGAGGGGGCTGCTTGTAGTGATATATATGCATGAAGGCTGCTTGTGGGATTGTGTGTAGAGGACACTGTCTCTGGTGTAGTATGTGTGTAAAGGGATCTGTTTGTGGTGTACTATGTATGGGCTGTAGAGTGTGTATGAGTGTGCATGTCTAAGTTCTGTAGAGATTGTGTATGTATTTAGGGAATGTAGAATGTCTTAGAATCTTGGTCTTTAGGGTTTGTATGTTTATCAGGACCCAGGTAAGTTGTCAAACTGTTCTTAAACTACTTATCATGGAAGGGTGCCAGGGTACTGGCCCATTGCCTCTGTGGCTGGTCCCTGGTGGCCCAGTGGGGCCTGTGACACTCCTCTCCTTACTAATCTTACCCTGCTTTCTCTTCTCTCCCTCTCCTCCGTGAGTTTCTGCTTGATAATGTACAGGGAAGAAGTGAAGTGCATTGATCGCAGCTGTATCGAAGGTACCGGTGGCACACTTGGTAAGCCCCCATGCACTTTTGAGGTTTAAAGATGGCCATCATTTACAGAAAGAAAGAGGATGGTGGCTTGCCGGTGCTGAGGGGTCCTGGTCTTAGTGGCATAATGGGGTCCTTGTGGGCCTCCTCCCTGGTCTGGGCCCTCAGTCATGCCTGAATGATCCGTCTGCGCTTGCTATACACTTAAATGGGCACTTCTGTAAATAAGTCATTTGGAAAGTGTTTCTAATAGTATTGAATCATTTGTAAGGATGATAAATCTTTTTGAAAATTTTGCTAGCATTACTGAATCATTTTGAAAGCTTATTAAATTGAAGCCATAGAGGGAGGAGATAGAAAAGTATAGATAATGATCAAAAATACAAGATATTGATGATAACATTTATTCACACCCAAATTCTACATGCTGTACCTTCTCAAAATTCACCTTGAAGACATACAAGTATAAGTGATAAGAGAAGATGGGGCAGCCTTGATAAAAAAAAAAGGGAACATAAGGTCCAGACACATAAGGTCAGGAAAAAAATATTTATTGAGATCCACATTTATATTTACTAGTTATAAAACTGGTTACTTTACAACATCGGCACACATCAGACTTTGGAGACAATAATAAACTCCAAAATGTGCTGATGAATTTCTTTGACAGTTTCTAATTTCTCAAGCTGTTGGGTGAAAGATAATATTTTAAGCTGTGATGTTGCTTCTTAAAGCTAGTCATTCCAAATGAAGACCAGCAATTCAAATGTTTTCACAGGAAATTCACATTTTTTTTTCTCTTCCTGTTTGCTCAAGTATGTCAACACTTTACACGAAAATGTGAAAACATATTTTCATTTTTTTCCCATCGATGAGACTGTGTGTGGCTTGACAAGTTTCATTTTTTTTTCTAAGGTGTATTTCCTGTATAAAACAGTATAGAGTTTTGTATATTTAAATGTTAAGCCTATAATGAAAATTATAAAATATAAAAAAATATTGGTTGCTGAACTCTTACAGCATTATTTATAAAATAGTTAAACTAACCTAAATTTGTTTCATAGTTGTTTTAACTCAAATGAATGTGTGTTTTACATATAGGGCACTGGCATTTATTTACACACCATATAGTTTTAAATTTATTCTAAGAATGTCATTTTATCACACTGTTAAAGTAGTCTGTAATCCCATAAAGTAGAATTTGGATGTTGATTGGAATCAAACTACACAAATTTAGCACTTTAAAGAGCCATTCATCTTGTATATAATAAATGCAGTACGTTGCAGGGCAAAGATTTATCAAAATGTTCTGTTGTAAAAAGTGGCGCAACATTGTAAAACTGGAGGAGTCACTAATCGACTGTGCCTGCAGTGTCCAATGGTTTCCATGGTGATTGGCCCACATTTACTATAAATAAACCATTTTTAGAATGCTCTGAGAAATATTCCCCACTGTTTGATTTGGAGAAGATGACAATTGAATTGTGCTCAACTTTCTAGACTTTTTTTTAGCCTGCCAACCAACACACAAATAGCAATGCAAGAACATTAAGAAAAGTGATTGGATTAATATCATGACAATGTTTAAAGGATTACTACAAGCACCATGACCACTTCAGTAACTAGGAATCACTGCATATACAGAGTATGGCAGCTTGAAACTGGAGGCTTAACTCCACCTTTGGAAGCACCATTACCAAGCCTTGACCAGGAGTTCCAAGCTGGCTAAATGTAAAGCTTGGCATATTTGTCATCAGCAAGCATAGCATAATGGGACCAGGTGACAAACAGCGGCCCACACTCCTTCGTGTGCCCCTCGTTTTTCCTTCAGTTAATCCTCCAGGACATCCCTGCTCCTACAGTTAATAGGAGGGATGTCACTGGACATGGACCGGGCAGCAGGGAAAACCTATTATTATGATGTTATTTATATAGCGCCATCAAATTCCGCAGCGCTTTACAATGGGTGGACGAACAGACATGTAGTTGTAACCAGACAAGTTGGACACACAGGAACAGAGGGGTTGAGGGCCCTGCTCAATGAGCTTACATGCTAGAGGGGGGTAAAATGACACAAAAAGGTAAGGATAGTATTAGACTAGTGACAGTTGCAGAAGAGGAATCAGTCAGGAGCTATTAACAGTTTTATTGATATGCTTTTATGAAGAAGTGGGTTTTTAACGATTTTTTGAAGGAGTGGAGACAGGGTGAGCATCTAACGGAGGAGGGAAGCGAGTTCCACAGTAACGGTGCAGCCCTCGAGAAATCTTGAAGGCGAGCATCAGAGGTGGGACAGAAGATAGACGTAAGTCTTCAGCAGATCGTAAGGGCCTAGACTGGACCTACTTGTGTATAAGGGAGGATAGATAGGTGGGAGCATCATTATGTAGCGATTTGAAAGCAAGAACCAGAATTTTAAATTGAGCTCTATATTTTATAGGAAGCCAATGTAGGGACTGACAGAAGGGTGAGGCATGGGAGGTACGGGCGGACAGGAAGATGTGGGTGAGTTTTAGCTTTTTTAAATTAAATGTTTTTGTAGGGGGGCACCATGCCAGCAATTTTTCATTAAATCACAGTTTTTTTGCATATATTTTGCTAAATGTAAAGTTTGTTTTGTAAAATTTTAATGAGTTTCCAGAGAATCGTCGCTCATGTTTAGCAATATATAGGCAAATAAGGAAAATAATATATGTGTAAATAAAGAGATGGAGGAAACTAGGTATCATTGTGTTCTTTCATTCTTAAACAGTTTTTTTAAGTAAAATAAACCTACAAAGCAAAAAAGCATACTGTCCATGTATTATGCTGTAATAGGAATATATATAAGGATGAAATGTTTATGTATTAATTCTGAATGTTGATGCATAATTCACAACTCGTATAATGTACGGCCTACCCTGTAACGGAAAATAACACAGATCTTGATCTATGTAGCAACATTTAAAGGGACACTCCAGATCTCTAAAGCACTTTAGCTAGCTCATGTGTTTTATGTGTGAAGAGTGTGTCCTTTTTTTTAATTTTACAACAAGTGCCGATTTCAGTAGAAATTGACACATTTATAAATTAGTCTTGTTATGCCCCCTGGCTTCCAAGCAGACAACTGATCCTATTACTTCCTGATGATTAGCTTCATGGAGCTAAACTCAAGAGGCCGTCAATTATTCAGAGCATCTGCCTTGTAAAGATTTCTCATTGAGCTGCATTGTGGAGTCTGTGATTGGACAGCCATAGAATGTTTGGGAGGGGGGTGAAGGGTAAGATTTGCATAGGCTTCATACAAGAGAACTGCAGCTTATGCAATATGTTTTAGATATGCTCCAATTAAAAAAAATGCATAATTTTGAGGGTGCCATTCTGGCTAGAACCACGAGCATTATTTGAAGTTTGAGGGATGGAATATTACTGTCAGCATATTGTTTTTTAGGCCAATAGTTATAAGTACATTGAAAAGACTACCAGCAGAATTGATATATACCAATACAGAGGAAGAGTTCAAGAATGCTTGGGATATAATATAATTACAAACAATGTAGTCTATTATGTACTCATTTAAAAAAAAACATTTGCAAAAATAGAAATCACTCTTCAAATCAAACATACAAAGTAAGAAATATGTTTCCAATTTTTTTTTTTTTTTAAATGTCCTAATCTCAAAGTCATAAAAATTATAAAAATAAAACGTTGGATGGTCTGACAGCAGCCTGTTTTGAAGATAAGATACAGGATGAGTACATTGTAAAACCTAATTTGCCAGGAATAAGAAACACTTGCCAAAGTATTTGTAAAGCTTACTTCTTGGTTCTCGTGGTCCATCTACTGTCACTTTGATGGCTCTGTGGTATGTAGCAACTTGTGTAGGGCTCGTGAAAACTGTGATTGTCAAGGTGAAACTTTTCCCTGTAAATAGAAAGATATAACATACATTAGTTTTTATTTTCCAAATTATTTCTTTCTGTACATTATTTCCCATGAAATTTGAACCCCAAGTTGATTTAACTTAGTTGGGAAACACTAATGGCTGAGTTGCGTAATGTGCATAATGGCAGAGGAAATGGTTGTCTAAGTTTAAAAGTCTGCAAGTTCTGGATCGTCTAATGGTGAGTCAGCTGCAAAGTCACCAAAGGCAACTGTCTCTTCTAGAATATTGTTCCCTACGTACAGGGTGGAGATAGAGTGATACTTTGTTGGGCTCTCATTTTGTATCATGAGTTGCAAAAGTAGCCTGTCCTTTATCCCTCTGTCAATCAGATGCTTGGCATACATAGAAGTACTTACTATTTGTGGGCCTTATGCCCAGATAGAGTCGCTATACTGGTGATGTTTTTAGAAATCTGCATTTCAATGGATAAGCATGAGCAGATTTTTACAGTTTTATTTATCTATCCATATAATGCCTATAAATCTTTAGTCCTTCAATATTCCTGTAATGTAACAAATATATTAAAAAATAATATGTAGTAAATTTATATAATGTTAATTATTTTATTTTAGGTATTTCTTAAAAGCAGCATATACAAATAACACCTGTTTTTCCTACGTTTGCATCCCATATTTCAAATAAATGTAATGATTTTTTTATTTTATTATTTTCAGATCTTGGCAGCAAAGATGGCTTAAAAATGTCTGAATTAGAAATGTTTTCAATCATGGCTAGTATAACTTAAATATTGCAAGCTAGTTCTCAGCTCACCATAGCTGTTGTGTAACTAATAAATAGAAAAGAATATTAAACATAGGAGATAAAGTTATCCACCTCATCACAAATTCTAACATTTTTCTTGCATACCATCAATGGCTCGAAAGTGTCAAGTCACTGAATTAAAGTCAGTTTTGCTAAAATATACTTTTTTTTTCTAATGTTCTCTAAAACAGTTCCGAATCAAGACGTCTGAGCACACTGCAAATTGCAGGTTTTAGAAAATGAGTCCTTAAGTGCCAGAATTTAGCATTTCATCAGAGGGAAAAATGAATGTGTGTGCGTGAAATCAGTTACTATTAAATAATTGAATAATGATAAAATTCAAACTCCAGGTGAAGCTGTCTAGAAGTTGCATCAATCCTTTATTTTAGTTGTAAAATAACAGATACATTCATCATTAAAACTGAGTTCAAAGACCAGTCTTGGAATTGTACGCCATTCCGGTTTGGAAATTTGTTTTGGAAGCATGAAAAAAAAAAAAACCTCTAACAGGATAATTAAGTGCAGAAATAAAAGCTTAATTCATAAAAGGAAACATTTTCCATTTGCCAATGTGCAGTCAGTTAAGTGCAGAGGGGGGGGAATGAAAATATGCATCTATTTGAAAACCAAACACGATGACGGAAATGTTAAAAAAAAATGTAAATCCGTTTTATTGAAACATAACAAGTAAACAATTATTAGATGCAAATAAAATATTTTTTAAGGTACAAGTACAAATAAATGTAAGCTTGCTTGTGATACAAAAGATCTAGCTGGTTACTGTCTGAAATAAATTATCAATGCTGTAGGCTTATGGCATTCATCATACCAAAGAAGATCGAGTCAGAGTTAAATACTCGATAACAGTAATGTGTTACAGATTTAACTGACAGGGTAGAAAGCACTGTAGATTAGCAGCAGAAGAAAAGGTTAATATAAACTGTGCAAAGTATGTAAATACATAAAACATATAGTCAAAATAAAGGCGTCATTCTTACAGGTCTTGAAAGACAAAAATAAAACAAATTATAAATATAAAATAGAGATCTATCTATTTGTCTGTCTTATCTATCTATCTATCTATCTATCATCCATCCATTAATAAGTTATTTCCTTAAAATTGTTATATAATCCCAATTTTTTGAAAAATTGCTAAATTAAAACATTTTAATTATATCCATTCATCAATAAAGCAGATAAAATTGTTTGTTTATTCTGTTGGCAACTTCTTTAATCAGCACAGCAGTTGTTGAAGAGGACCTGTCATTTGTTAGTTTCTTAACTCGTGAATTCTTCTTATTGAAATCTGCGTATTGTTGGTTTTCTTTTATTTAATGTTGTATTTCTTTATGTATTATTGGCATTTATATAACACCAACATATTCAGCAGTGCTTGAAGGTAAAGTTAGGGTAAAATTGGTACTATGATGTATAGCTAAGAAGAAGGTTCAGCAGTGCGTAGAGACAATAATTATAAGCTTAAGCCATAGATGCCCAGCCTTGTCAACCATTAATCTACGTGGCTCGAGTGATAGCTGACTTCAACCACTGTGTATGAGGGATGTCTATAATCTAGTTCAGCAGGCAGGTCTGAGGATCCTAGATATTGCTTTGCTGGTAATGTAAGTATGAAAAAGTCATGGAAAGATACATAGAGATGAAACATGTATTATTGGACAATAATGCAATTGAGGGATTCTGTAGATTTCATAACAAACTACAAGATTAAAGGCTGAGTGATTTATAAATGCATCGAGAGCCTCAAGAATATTTTCCCTCAATATATACTTTACCATTTTTATCTTCTATATTACAGATACTTTATAGGCCTAGGTTACTATGTTAGGTTTGGCGTTGGGGTTAAGGCTGAGGTTAGTGTTGGCATAACGACTGGGTTTAATCCTAAAGTTACTGAATTGGCATTGGTATGTTAGTGTAGAGGTTAAAGGTTAGATGCAGTGTAAGATCAGTGGGGATTACAATCATGTGTGGCAGATATTTTCAGCAACGGCCATTACTTCAGTTACTGCCTTATTACCAGTAAGGAGGAATGCGCAAATTAGCTATGTATGGAGGTGGCACAGGATTAGGGCCAGAGGACTTAGAGACTTCCTAGTGTGCATATGCGACTTGGGGGAGGAGGTGGTGACACTAAGGGCATAGACAATGCACCTCACCTAGATTTATATAGATGCAGCAAAACAATTCTCAAAAGGGCAAAGAATAACAAAAGAAAGATAAAAAGAAAATCCATCTCACAATACTCTACTTTGGTACAGGAAGCCACATCTGTGACATAAAGATGAAACTGTTTCATAGAGCTAAAATGTTCTGCCTCAGATCCACACAGGTACAGATGGATGAAAGTTTATAGGACTTATCAACATGAATGGTTTACTGAATGGGTCCAACATACAATGTGAAGTTCCTATTTTTTGAGCATCTACAACACGACTGATTATGCTATGGTGAACAACTTCATCTTCATCTTTTGTTATTTGACCACAATGACATGTTAAACAGTACTTACAATTAAAAAAAAGTTACAAAATTTAAAAGAAAATAATGCTCTTCAAGATGAATATGCAGACAATAAAAAAAGTGAAATAAACTATTAAAAAAATGTAAAAATGTTTTGCAGTGTAGAGCGGATTAATGCAATTCCAGTTTAGCTTTCGATGGATTGTTTTGATAGGCAGTGATAGGCAGGAGAAGAGTTATCTTTGAAACACTAGAACTATTTTAAATGACTCTATACATCTGTAATCATTAAAATTGAATTAAGAATGTTCCACATGCTGTATTTAATTTTACCCACCTCTTCCGCTTCTCCCAACAAATCGAAGATCATTGAACCGAGCCACTTGGTTCTTCATGACAGCTGAGGCATTCCGCAATTCAGCTGAATAGTTCTCATCATTTCCAGCCATAACTGTGACCACCGTTCCATCAGGAACATCTCCTAAAGCTAAAACCTGGACACAGGAGAAACCAAGATGTGATTTGATCCTTAATTCAATACACCCATTGTTTAATCCATAAATCTAAGAGTGAAGATAGCTATCCCACATCCTCAGAGTGTATGGCAGTAGGCCATCTGGTAACCCATTTTCTCAAAAATTAATTTTCCAAAATCCAACCTACAAATTCTTCTTTTATTGGAAATGATAATGGGTGTCAGAAGTTATCTGCACTCAGTTGCTCTAGAATGTGCCCCTTGCAATATTGAAATACAGAGGAAACATAAATACAAAAACAACTTGTTTTCCACCAGCTAGATTTCAATGTATACATTTTTTTACTGTATTGTATACATTACAAATGTTTCAGGAGCCATTGCCCTTGGTTTCCTGTATGAAACAGGTTATGCTACTGTATATAACATTTGTTGAAACCATCATATCTAATATATAATATATAATATAATATCCAATTTTCATATTCAGTTTATCAACATTTGACATTTGTTTCTTTTATTTGTTCATGCCTCTTGACTTTATTCTAGTATTGTTCAAACCGACTTTTTTATACACTTTTTTACACTGTAATTATTATGTGTATTTCGGTCAGTATTTTTATCTACTATTCTCTTGTTTGTCTTCTCTTTTCTCTAATGAAAATTGGAAATTATATTTACTAGAGTAACTGATAAAGTATTGCTTCTTTTTGTATTACAAAATAGAATTAGAAACGTTGTTGCTGAGATGATAAAGTATGTTTCCATCCATTAATCCATCTATTCTTGTACCCAAGTAGCGCATAAACATTGCAGACTTTGACATACTGCCTTTCGGACCTATTTAAGAGGACTACGAGTTAAAAGCTTATGAGGTTTTCCAAATGCTAAGATATTCATTTATTAAAATTTACGTTTACTCATATATATAATATACTCAAGATATATCAGACAATGACTGATTATACAACTATAATTTCCTACATAATTATATGTTGCCATATTTAACAAAATTGCCCTAAGGCCTAATATATAGTTATACTAAGGAGATGACCATAATTAATGCAATACTAAAAAGTATGTATATCAAATGTAATTTTATGGCCTTTCTCCAAAGTGTTTAATGAAATTAAGTTATCTGCTTTTGTTTTAATATAAAATTGTTGTATCAAATGTCCTATAAAAAAATGTAAAAAATCCTGTCCTATTAAAATCGGTAATAGCAATGTCTTTTCTCATGTTGATAAATTTTGTTGATAAATAATTCTAGTCCCGTTAAGAAAGCCAATACCATACACCGGGATGTGGATGGTGCAATCTCAGATTCTTTATTGAAGTAGATAACTGTTATACTGAATACAGCATTGCATGTAAGATGTGTGATACTAAGATCACAGATAATATTTACCTTGCTATAAACTAACTTTCTGTATTAGAATCTGAAAAAGCAAGGGTGTCTTAAATTGAAGTATAACTGTCCTAAAATACTAATCATTTGTGCAAATCGTAACACTGCATTCAAGGTCACCTTGCATAGAGATATTTCTTAATATTTCACAATAATTCAAATATAAGAAAATTGCTAATATGTCTAAAAGCTTTACTGTACCCTACATTTTTTCTGGACAAAGATGGCCAAAGCTGAATTCTTCCAACACAAATATATTTGGTTATGAAATATGTTCTGCAACCTAGTCTGTGTTGCTACAGGCTATTACGCTCTCAATACGCAACTCAAAGGTGGTCCCTTTAAATTGCTATAAAAATATCTGTATAAATTTCAGCATTAAGAAGTGGACTTTTAATTATTTTTTAGAATGCTAATATAAGGATTTTATTTTTATTTTTGAACTATTGGTTTGGTACAGAATATAAATTTAGGTTACAGTTAAATTATTATCCCAAATTGGTAAAAACTGAGAACTAAATAGACTCATTGTATGTGCAGCTTGACCTTGCAGTTGAGTGACTTTGAAGTGGGATGGGGGGTTTTTAAACTCTCTCTAGAACCCTGCTTATTCTGACCTCAAATCTGCTCCTTTAACAAGCTACCTATGTTAATACAAATTTCTTGGTCTGTGATTCCTCTGGAAGTGGTGTATTTTCCCCAACCTGATTTTTTTTTTCTCAGATGTGTGTACTTATGTTCTGCCTACTCTGACCACAGAGTTCATATTTAAAAAAATTGTAACTGCCAAGCCAACTATGATTCATGTATACACCTATATATTAAATAGCGTGTAGGTAAATTTAATTTCAGTTTCTTAAAAATATGTAAAGTAGACATCTGTATATTCAATCATTTTTTATTATGTATACTATATTTTTTCTTACATTAATAAGAATCAAGATCCATTTAGTTTGCAAAATTATTTCCCAATGTTTATATATTTCTAAATCTAAATTTTATAGTTATGTAAGATTATGTATAGTGTTTTTTTTTTTTATATTTCATAGTACACCATTATTATGTGTTGATATAAAAAGTGAGCATAATAATCAATAAATATTTTACAGTGGTTTAAAATTAGGATTTAATTTAAGCAGTATATAATCAAAACTATCTACATATTATTCTGGCATATGATTTTGTTTAATCTCATCAGAGTGTATTAAGTGACACAACATCCTTTAACTTCAAAGAAATAAATATCTATGGTGAGTAAGATTGACAGATGGTTATAAGTTAACCTGTTTAAATTTAGATTTTTATGTTTTTTTTTGTTTTTTGTTTTAAATTAGCCTATATATGTTTTATTTTATTCAGTTACCTATTAGGTGTCAATGGGAGTAATATAATTTGGGATAACATTAACTGATTGGATCAAAATACAATTTCTCTAAATCTAAACATTTTGCTGTTAAAAATTTTATGGTAAAATTTTTTTTTCTGTTTATTACACATGGTAATTTGAAGAAGGGAAGGAGGAGTGACATTGAGGTTAAATCACTGATCTCTGAAGTGGTATACCAATTATACCATAACCATGTAATCATACCATTCACTCTGGATAAGACGTGTATATATGTGTATTAATATATGTTTAATTTTTTATTTTCAATTAGATTGTGTGCTTTTATTTCAGCCTATGAGCTTTTTAAAAAAATATATACTCTGTGGTTTTAATTGATATTATCTGGCAGTTATAACATTAGTCATATTAACATTCCTGAAATTGTATTATCACACTAACATGTTCTATTCACGAACAGGAACTCTTATAATACGAGAAAGCAAGCGTATTACGACCAATTAGTACTGAATCATTTCAACTTACTGGATTCATTTCAATAGAATATGGGTATTATCTGATAAAGCCATACAATAGCGCTTTTATAAATGTCGATGGGCTATCTACAATGATACAATGACACAGCAATGTCACAATGAGACTTTAAATGTACCAAAATCACCATCTAGTCTGTTTAGAATAATTAAACGCAAATTGTTAAATACTAGTTGTAATATTTTCACAGCTAAAAAAAAAATACACTTTAGTATACAGATTTTTTTTAATATATATATAAAATCAGAAAATAAAATTGCATTGCAATATATATATATTTTACAAAATGTTATCATAAATATATCATACATATATATGATGTATTTATGATAAAAATGTGTCAAGAATGGAAACAATATTTTACTGAATAATAAATTGTTCCATTCTTTGCTACTCTAGAATGTTGCAAATTCTGGAGAACAAAAGATAACTTCTTCCACCTGCAGTGTCTTTCCCATCCCACCCCACCCCATCTCACTCCATCCCATCCCATCCCATCCCAATTTACCTTGAAGGCAACAGGCAGGGTTTTGTTACATCTCCAGTGTGAAGGTAGCACTGAGCACAAGAAGTTTGGACTGTCGGTCCTTACAAGCTCCCCTGCATGGTCAGCCAGAACATCCACCACCGTCCGGATCTCCGACCTGGTCCTCCCCGGGGCAGAAGAGCTGATGGTCCCGTTGTTGTCTCCCATTTTACCGCAGGAAAAGGAGGTGGATGGAGGGGTGAAGCGCCTGCTGGTGCTCGGGTCTACGGGAATACGCATTACAACAGCAGGGGGTTAGAGAGAGGAAGCCACCGAAATCTAGACTGTAAGGAGAGACTCTTCTAGGAGTCAGAGCAAGTTCTACCCAACAACCAAGAGCAGGCAGGGCCGAGGGGCTCTGTATTAGGGCAGTGGGTAATGTCAAGGCACTGGTTTTGTTATCACTAATCTGATCTCAGAAGAGAAGGAAAAAGAAACAAGAGTCGTGTGAGAAGATCAGCCTCTCAGGAAGTCACTGTCTGCTGAGAATTGCAGGGGTGGTGGTGGTGGTGGAGGAGGAGGGGGAGAGAAGACACACAGAGCCTTGTGATGATGCACTGTGAAGTTTCAGCACCCTATGTTACCATGTACACAGGCAAACAACATATTTATATCTAGAGATGGCAAGCTGCACGGTTTGAGGAGCTTCAAGTCTAGTTACTGTGCAGACCTTCTGGTGTCTTTTTAGAGGGGAAGTAGGGTGGAAGCTCTTGCAGGACCCAGCCAGCAGCTCCTCTCCTGAAGGTGCAGAGGTAGGTTACCAGGCAGGTTTTTTTAATAGGTGTATGCCATCGTCAGGTTTGAGAGAGTCTGCAGGTATTTTTTCTCATACACATAAAAACCCCTCAAAATACTGAAACAAGTTCAGATATATAGAAACTGAGAAAAATAAACGTAAAGTATACAAAAGTTTTCACACATCTGCCTTAATTTCCTGCTGCTTCCTGGGGCTGCCTTGTCAGCTAAAATGGTTTGATAGGGAGGGAGAGAGCTGCTGCTGTTGGTGGGCGAGGGGGATCCTTTGTGGCTGATGTCTGCACCAAGATCTGAAAAGTTGTGGACAATCCAGAAGAAGAGATCGTGCCAATTGCTCTGTCCTTCGCTGCTCTCACTGGGGCTTCTAGTCCAGGTCACAAGCCATGGGATGGTGTCACAGAGCTCCAGGTCCCCTGACCTTCTGCTGGCAATGGGAGATGCAGCTACTTCAACAGCTTCTAGACCGCAGGTCTGGTTTTATGAAAAGTGTAAGAGCCAGACTGTGTCACACACTATTTACACCAGAGCTGTCACAGGGAAGTGGGGGCGGGGGAGGGACTGTGAGTGGCACTTGGGATGTCCAATCTACATCTGCTATCAAAAGAGAAGAAAAAAAACAGTGCAGGAGCTAGAGGGATGTGGTGTGTCTTACAGGTTCCCCCCACTTCCACCATCACCACCACCTCCCACCACACCCAGCCACCCACTCACTCACACAGCTACTGGGCAGATCCGCAGAGCTGTAAGAAGCCTTCAGTAATTATATGGGATACTTAATATCAAACCCAACTACTTCAGAATGTCCAGGAAATGAATCAATCCAAACGATGACGCTGCCCTGCCTTGGATTCCTTGATTTTGAAGGGTTAGCATTGATTCTGTGTGAGGTGCTTGAGGTTATGGACTATACATCATTAATCAGAACCACTGCTCTATCAAATATCCACTGCACCAATACAGCCAGCAATCCTCCTGCCAGCACCTCCCTGCATGGGACATAGTGTAATAATAATCCACACACCAATAGCACACAGTGCGGACACATTATTAATGTACAGGAGGAGACACTAACGACAACAGACATTGTCTGAGGAGCTCCGGTTGGTATACTGTAACTGTATCACATAATGTACTGGAAAAAGACACCTTATTATTATTAAATTATTATTATTATTATTTATTTATTTATTTCATCAATATGACCAAGGGAACAACAACACTTTCTTATATTTCTTATGTTTTTTTAATGTAGTGTATACATTTTATATGTATGTATTATAAAAATATACACTGTAATATAAAAAATATATATATTTATGTCTATATGTATACTTTGTAATTTAAATTATGTATTAAAGTCCAAAATCCTATACATGTTTGCTTGTGTAAAATATGCTGTTGATAGATAGACAGAGAGAGACAGACAGACAGAGTTAGTCAGATAACTACCAGTGTACAGTTAGGACATGCATTGCTATATATATATTCAGAAACATTATCTATACAACACATTCCTCTATCTTTACATCGCATATCTATCTATCTATCTATCTATCTATCTATCTATCTATCTATCTATCTATCTATCTGTCTGTCTGTCTATCTATGTCTGTCTCTCTGTCTGTCTGTCTATCTATGTCTGTCTCTCTGTCTGTCTATCTATCTGTCTGTCTGTCTGTCTATCTATCTATCTATCTATCTATCTATCTATCTATCTATCTATCTATCTATCTGTCTGTCTATCTATCCATATTAGAATATGATACCTATAGCTGATAGTAACACAACTATCAAATCCTTGGCAAACAATATTTAAACACCGTTGATCTTGTGAATATTCCAATTACTGGATACAATGTAATGTGCATTAGAGAACGTATCACTCCACAGAGAGAACATTTAAAATATGATTTGCAAACAACCTGTTTTCTCTCTCTCTTAGCATATTATTATTACAGCGGGGAGGCAATCGAAAAATGTTTCTTAGATATAAAGTCAAACATTAATGTACTATTATTAAATAAAATCTGTTCATGTACGCATTATGCAGAGCACTGATACTGAAAATAGTGACATAAAATAAAGATGATTTTAGGCAAAATAACACGTTCTTTTATGCAAATGATTCAAATTAAAATGATAAATTTTTCAGTTATTATTCTTATATTGTTAAACATAGCTGTTCATTTTAGAAACATATAGCTCTAACGAATTCTGAATATAATTTGTTGATCAACTAGTTAATTTCATTATTTCAGTATTCATATCCAATCTGTCAGATTGCTTCATTTAATAATGAATACGAAGTGATGTTATATTTTTCATGCTTAATAATTCATATTAGAATTGGTATGCATGTAAGGGAAAATTGCTCAGTTACATTATATATTAAAAGTAGGGTCATCAATGAAATGAAAGAAACTGGTTCATATTAATAGTTCGTGGGGTCTGGCTACAAAACAGGGATTAGTGGCGAGTTTATATCCAACTTCACAATTTGGTGCAAATTACTAATATATTTGCAGTTCTTACATTTTACAAGTCAGTTCACAAAAATCACTGCTTAGGTAACAGCACAAGCAAGTACAACTCAGTGAATATTTGTGTGAGCAAAATGTATTTCAGTATTCCTAAACTTAATTTTAATCATGCTATTTCAGATCCCCCCCTACTGATTTTCTGAACTACAGTACTCTTCATGCTCATCCAGCCTTCATGCTGGCTGAGCATCATGGGAATCGTAGTCCTAAACATTTGCAATACACAATTTAGCTCCCCAGTGAAACAGGGTATGGAATGTATCAAATTCGTATTATTATACCTGGTATTTAACGCTCGTGGTATAATAAACTGAAAGATAACGTTTAGATACAATTTTCATTTCTAATAAAGGACTTCAATAGTGTTAGCCACATATAGCACACATCTCTGAGTGTAACAATGGAATAAAGATTTAAGCAGCATTATCTTGTTAGCAGATGTCATTTAGAGAATAAAGATATTTTCATTTTAGTCCTCCCCAATATTTTTTAACAATGGTGATAGGATACTAAATTTCAATTTTACCAAGCCTTGTATTCCCCTCTTCTCCTATAAAGCAGTATTAAAACCTCCAAGCTTTACTTGTGTGCACCCATCATTTACATTATATAAATAACGTTTTTCTGTGACTTCTAATGGGAGTGACAGCACTGAAGGAAAGTCCTTAAAACGGCAAGAATTTCTAAAACCTCTTAGAACTGTTAAGATTGGTTAATGTCTCCAGAGCCTTAAGATGGCATTATTTACTTTAATACATGTTTTATTATTATGAAAATCTGACATTGCTAAATATTTTTGGGTTAGGGCTTAGAGCTTTAGAATTAAGGTGAGGTTAGGGCTAAAAAGTCTAGGTAATCGTTAGGTCTGGGGTTAATTGGTCTAAAGGCAGGGCTGAGACATACATACATACACGTCCTGGACTGTCTGGGATTGATAGGATTCACACTCTCCGCTAACAACTGTTATTTTTCATGTCACTATTAAAACAATTTCATCCACAGAGGGGATTGGGACATATCACTATATATCGTATTCATGACAGTACACTCAGTAATGCACATTAAGGCTTTATATCTTTAAATACTTTTACTGTGTCCAAAATAGAATAATTATTGTTCAAACGTTACCTCGTCCTAAGCATTTTACATTTAAGGTCTATTTTGAAAACATCATATTGTGGTGGCTAGTAAGAACTCACAGTAGAGCCATACATCCAGTACAGGCACCATTGCACAATTACATATAGTTATTGTTACCAATGTCACATGTGGAGATTGTCATAAGGTTACATTCCTAGTGCAACATTCTCGAATTATATGTATTTTACCATCAGAATTGCATGAAGAAAACAAATATTTTAAAAATCTCACTAATCCTAAATAATTGCATGAGACACTTTTAGATATGCAAAAAATGTGCATGACTAATAAAGTGCATTATATATGCACTAGTGCTTTCACAAGTCATATACGGAGAGGGGGTAGAGATTTAATGCTGTTAGATCTTTTGGCCCCTACAGTTGCTGAATTACCTCCCCATCCGTCACGCAACGACTTACCTTCAATTGGGTTTTGCTGGCAAAGGATCAGACACCTACGAGAACTGTGCATTTAGCTACACGTATTTCTCTGTACTGCTTCCTCTTGGCCTGTTTTAATGTACTACAGTGGGCATTGACTTTCTGCTGGCATTTTAGGAATCCATATTCCCCAAAAGGTACCAATAAACAGTGCATTTAACCTATATTACATTTATTTCATGTCACAAATATGTATGTTACAAAAATGAGATTTGTATTTTTATTCTAATTGCCTAGAATATGCATCATATATTACGAGACATAAGATAAGGTGTAGTTTTTTTGCATATATTTCTGCAAAACGACCGATAAATACTTTTTTTTTTTTTACTTATTTTTTTAAATGCATGAATCCTTGAAAAGAATGTTATATATAAACTCAACACACTATGGGTTTATCACATTTACACTAAAATGTGCGTTTGTAGTATGTGCTCGTAATGCAGAATGCAGTTCATTTATTAAGAATGAGTTTTGAGGATATGACAACTGTGTTGCAAAATCAAGATCAAAACCTATAATGTTTGTATGTCTAGCTGACTTGGCCAAGCTTGAAATATCTTCCACTTCAGCTATTATAACAAACAGATTGTACACATTGATTGCCGAATCACTGTAACTCACTGCTTAGTAAACTGATCTTCAATTAATTTTTAAAACATCACATTGGTTCAGTAAGTGTTTAAATACAGTACTTATTGCAGGTTAAAAGTTCTTTTTTTTTACATCTCATAATGTTCATAATATTAACTTGCGATGGATGGTCATGTGAACGAAGATGCTATTGTACTGGATTACCAATTCCAACCACTAGTTGTCACTGCAACCGCATTGAACCCAATAACCAAAACACATTGTACTCTACACATCCAGCCTGCATTTTATGATTTTAAAAAATATGGGGTGGATTCACTAAATAACAATCACAGGGAGTTTACAAGTGACTTGAAAATGATGATCAAAAATAGTTCCTTTAGAAAAAGATTTAGTAGAATTGGCAATACATTTCAAATATCCATATTTTGCATAACATTTTCCTGCCAATTTTCATCTCAGTACAACTAACTAGTTAATGAATATGGTTTTCTCTTATTTAAATATATATTTTAAAATACATTTTAAAATAAAAGTCAATAGTATAAATTAGTTCTAAACACTGTGTTATGTTGAATGGACAATTTATATTAAAATCAGTTGAGCTGGAAAACAAAAATCTGCTCAGTTATTATATATCTATATATACGTATATATATATAGATATATAATAACAGGACATGTATAGTACATGAACAAAGGATATAACATACATTTTATGTATAGGTTGTTGTTAAGGCTTACCTAAAAATTTAATTATGTACATTTACACAAATGTAATTTTACATTTATTCATCATGTACAGAAATATTTGTGGCATAACCTATTTTGCAGATTTAATGTTCATTTATTTTGTAATATTTTAAAAATGTCAATTTTCCACCGTGATGTAAAAATGTCTTCATGTGAACAATGAGCTTAAAACTGTCCCTGAGTGAAGTGGCCTGTAATTAAAATGAATTAAGCATTTCTTTGCAGTGCAAAGTGAAAGTTAGCCATTGTATGCAGGTGGTTGGAAGGCGTACCAATTAGAAGGAGGCTATGAAAATTAAAATGATTGATTGTAGTTAGGAAATTTTCATTAACCCCTTTATTTAAAATAATTATTCATCAATTAATATACTCTAATTAGAATAATTTTTTTTTAAAAATGATTTTCATTAGACTTGTGCACTAATTCTTTTTACCTGCAATGATCAAATGAGTCATGTAAATATTTGCCCAAACGAATCGAGCTGGCACGTAAATTGGAGATGGATCCATTTGTTTGAGTGTAAAATAACAGGAATTTGATTAATTTGTCGCAGGTAAAAAGGATTTGTGCGCAAGCCTAATTATCATAGCCTCCTGTTAAGTTGCAGAGCTGTAAAGTGATAAT